GATTATAGATTTTGAGGGAGGAGGTGGCATTTTGTTTGATTGGTTGTTTCTATTTCGTTTTTGTTCTTGTTTTAACGGAGTTGATTTTTACTAGCAGAAGAGAGCGTCACTTTACGGAACAGCAATTTCGCAGGTGTTTATAGGGTACCCCCAACAAGCGGTGGCAGCGCCGTACACACCGGGGCCTTCCTCCCCGTAAAGTGTGGAGCATTTGCCTCACTTCGTCCCACGGGGCCGGGCAAGGCGCAGCCTCCCTGCCGAGCACCCCCGGGACCCAGACCCGCCGGGGCCCCGCACCGACAACGGGACCGCGAGGCTCCCTGCCGCACCCAGCCCGCCGGGCGCCGCTCCAGACCCGGCAAGTCCCCGCCTCGGGCCCCGGCACAGGCCCCGCCATGCGGCCCGTGCCCCGGCTCGGGCCCCGGCGCCGCCGCAAGGTCACTCGGCCCCCGGACGGGCCCGCGGCGTGCGCGCTCGGCCTGCACAGACTCACCTGCCCGCGCAGCTCTGCGGGCCGGCGGGCGAGGGCGGGAGACAAGGGCGGGGGAACGGCCGGGGCCGGCCCGAGCCGCGGGCCCGAGAGCGCCGGGCCGCAGCGAGGCGGGAGCGGCCTCGCTCGGCGCTCCGGGGCTGCAGGCGGGAGGCGCCGCCCGGCCCGGCCCTTTGTGCGCGGGGACGCGCCCGCCTGGCCTCCCTCCCCGCGTCTCCCCGCCGCGCCGCGGGCCAGCAGCGCGGGGTTGGGCAGGCGGCCCGGCCTGCCCGGGCGCCGCCGCGCTCTTACCGAGGGATCTGTACGGGAAAAAGGGTTAGAACGGAGCCGCTCCGCCCGGGCCCGCGGCGCCCCGAGCCCCGCGCACCGACCGCAGCCGCACAAAATGGCCGCCGCGATGCGGCGCCGCCGGGAGGGCGGGGTCCGGGAGGGGCGGCACGAGGAGGGCGGGGCCGCGAGGGGCGGACGGCGCGCGCCGGGATGGGCGGGGCCAGCCCCCGGGCCGGACCTACCCCGCGCTGGCCGAGTCGCCGAGGGAGGCTCATGAGGAAACGGGGACTCGGGGCGAGCATTGAACTCCTAACGAAAAAAAGAACCCTGAGAGCGGCTGTTTCCAACCTCTTGACGTACGACCAAGTTGCAGAATTAAAATGAAAGATTGCTGGGGGCCGATGTCCCATGCTGTGTTTGTCCTTGGTTTGACTGAATACAGCACCAATAACGAGGCAGTGCCCTGCGCTGAGAGACTCCCGGACTCTTCTGGTTTCTCTGTCACTGCGCTTCAGCAGACACAGGCACATCAACACTAGCCATTTCCAATGAAAAAAAAAAAACAAACCACTGTTTAGCCCTCTGCAAGAAACAGGTTAAAAATAAATCGTTGCCTCCTTTGCAAACGCTTTTGTAGTAAATGTTGGAGTTCAACAACTCAGTTAACTTTGGCCTTGGTTTCTGTTAAGAGGTGAAAACCACCAAATTGTCATGGTTGTGCTCTCCTGAGACAGAGGGATCCAGTGTGGGGCTGCTCAGCAGCACAGTAACCCCCACTCCATCATCGGCTTTCCTATATAACCCCTCTTTCTACTCCCAAATTCTACTAATCATCTCCTCCCAGGCAACAGCACACACTTGTTTATCTTCTCCCTATTAATGCCAGTTTTTCAGATTTTGTATTCTATTTGGTATTTATGATAACAGATCGTCTGAAAATACCAGTTCTGCCAAGCTGATACCTCCTTCTTGTCTTGGCAAGTGTATGCAGTATCCTGTAATTGACCTTTCTATAGCACTAGAGACAATAGATAGGGTTGGCTGTCCCCATTGCACCCTGACATAGTCCAGAAAAGCAGGTGGTTGAAATCACCAGAGACATCAACAGCCAGGCTTGCCAGCTTTACTGGAGAGCTGGCTGCCTGTGACATGTGAGGGGTAGCAGGAGCATCTGCAGCTCAGGGCTTCACTCTGCGACACCACAGCACGTCCCAAGCTGCCCCAGCCACCCTGCAGTGGAGAGACAGTGCAGGATAACAAAAGGACAGTGCTGGAATACCCCAGGTCAGGGGAAAAAGAAGAGTTTTCAGCTTTTGTGCAATGTGATGAGTCACCACATTACTTTTTGTTGTTCAAATAAAGTATGGTGAAGAGACTTGTGGGATTAACTGTGTGGACCATTAGGAGCATGCCAAGGGACCAAGGGTACCAAAGACAAGTCAGCACCATGATGCAGCTGGTTACCAACAGCAGGTGTCAGGGTGGTTGAATTCCCCCATGAAAACTAGGGCTTGTAAACATGAAGCCGTTCCTATTTGTCTGTGGTGACCCTCATTGGGTCATCTTCCTGGTCAGGTGGCCTGTAGCAGACCCCCACTGTGATGTCACCTGTTCCTGCCCTCTATTTAATCCTGACTCCTGAACTCTCAGTCAGTTCCTCATTCATCCCCAGGTGGAGCTCTGTGCACTCCTGCTGGTTATTTGCATAGAGAGCAACATTGCCTCTCTTCTCCCCTGCCTGTATCATTCCATTTCAACCCTCCAGTCACAAGAGTCATCCCAACAGGTCTCTCTGTTGCTAATAAGATCATAGCCCTGCAGGTACATGCATGGCTCTAACTGAAATGCTCACTTCACATGCCTTTGCTTTTTTCACTGGGCGAAGGGCAGAGCCTTGAGGAGTGGAGGGATTGGCTCAGGACCCAGTGCAGCAAACAGGACAGCTCCCAGCTCAGAGAGGCCCCAGCACAGGGAGATCACTGCAAACCAGGAGAGCCCCAAGAGTGTCACTCAGGGCCACTGTTTGCAGGGCCACAATCTTCCACCCTAGCCCCACTTCGGGTCAGAAACTTTCTTTGAAAGTGTGAGAACAACAATATTATGCCATTCAGGGGGGAAAAAAGTTTCCCAAGCTGTTCATTAAAAAAAAAAAAAAAAAAAAAAAAAAAAAAAGGTAAAAAAGCAGGAGCTCATTGGACAGCACCAGTTCCTTGGAGTAGTGTTTCTGACAAGCTCAAGAGGAGCTGAACCCAAGAGCTGTTCATCAAGGCCAAGGCCTAGTGAGCATTTTTCAGATCATGGTGCAGCCTGGGGGTGGGACGATGCACCACCATACATTGGCATCCAATCAGTAAGAGTGGGATAGACTGAGGTTCCCACCTCCCAAAGGTTTTAACTGCATTCAGTGAGGTACAGCTAGATGTTTCATCCTTGGCATTACTTCTTTCTGTCATGGGGCAAGTATCTCCACTATACATTTTTCCTCATCTTGCTCTATAAACATTTCAAATAAACATTTGTTACTAGTATGAATTAGTTTCCCTAAGCTTTACATGTAGAATTTTTATTTTAAATCTTATAAAATAAGAGGTGGTCAGAATCTTCAAGATTTGAGGCTCCCTTTTTTCAAAATAACTACAATTTAAGCTATTTGAGTTTAAAAAAATTAAATCAGGCACTGAGTTTGAGAAGAATGACTCCTCACAAGTCAAATGTCGACTCAATGACAGCTAACTTTTACCAGTGCAGAAATGTTTACCCTCTTCTGTTGCCTAATGAAAGCTCCAATTCAGCAACTTACTGATTGTCCTGCATGGTTCACACAAAAAGGTGGATCTGAAAAGACTGACAGCAGCCGAGTTTAATTCTTATCTGTAATTTTTTATCAATCTCAAAACATAAAGAACAATTCATAAACATGTATTTCTAAAACATGCTAGGAAAGCATGTTATCACATGCTTAATCCAGAAAATATACACGGCCCAAGGATAAAACACATTTATGCATACGGTAGTTTAAAAAATATTGTGATGAAATATAAGGTGCCAGCACTACAATATTAAAACTGCTAAAGCTAGTCATTTCAAATAGAACAATCAAGGATTAGCTTTGCATTACAAACAACGAAGTCTGTCTTTTGTAACAAAAAATGCACAAGCTTCTGTAACACAATCCATCTTGTGAGATTCAGCTTCAGCTTTTACACAACATGGTTGATCCTCGAGGTAGATCCCATCCCAAACTGAAGGTGAACATATTGTCTATGGGGTATACCAAATTCAACAGCTAACACAGCATCCATCAATCAACACAACTAATTTGAGAGCTCTTTGTTTATGCACTGAATAAAAGGCACTTTGCCATACTGGGCATGGTTTCCTACTGGAAAGATCACCAAAGATAAGAAAGGAGAACCCCTTTCTAACAGACACTTCCCCCAGCATGTGCAGGAAATGGATTCCCATGCGAATCGCTAGTCAGACAGTACAGTCTGTTAGACAAAGACAAGTTCAGTGCCACGTGTTCTTATCTCCAGACAAAATATACAGGCTGAGCTGGGCAGACTCCTTGCAGTGACAGAAACCAAGGGCCCATAGCCAAAACAAGTAACATCAAAGGTCTCATGACAAGGGGAGAAAAAAAAAAATGAAACAAGAAAAATAACCTCAAAACCCCACACCGCCTTAAGACATTGCACTGTATCTGCTCTCCCCACCACCTTTAGCACTCGGACTCTCACCTAACTGGTGCTGCCATAAAAGGTGACATATTCTGCCTATCCCCTCCCCCAGTCATTCAAGTTTTCTTTCCTCACTGAGAAAAAATTGCATGGAAAAACCCAATAGAGGGGACAGCAAAGTGCATCATAATTGTATCATAAACTCTGGAACACAGAAGAATCTTATGGATTAATGCACACACACACACACACACTAAAAAAAAGATGCACACAAAAAATCAAGGAAAATTCTCCAATTCAGAAAAAAAATGTTCTTAACTGCACATACAGCTTATCTGTGAAGGCACATAGCCACATTGAGGCATCCCTTTCCTCTAGAGATCCAAATGTCCTCCTACATGAGAATTTCTTGCAGTACAAGGCATTTTGAGAAGCAAAACTCAGCTGATGTTGCAGGATACCCACCTCAAAGAGAACAAATTGGTAGCAGGTCTGTGGTGCAAACACAACAGTGACTTGGGATGAGTTACATCGAGAAGCAACCTCTTGCCAGAACTCACTGGCCTGGAAGTAACACGCTGATTTAATTTTCTCATTAGAAAACACATTTCTGAATAAATTACATTTTAGCATAAATTTCTGTGTGTCAATAGGAACACAGTGGGTGTCAGATCAGCCTGCCTTTCTCCATGATAAAAACTAGTTTCATTTTTGGCTTCTTAGATTTTGTGGTCTGAAAGGGCAATTCTCCAGTCAAATTGCAAGTGTCAGAAAACAGAAGTGCTGCATAATTTGCTTAAGACTGTACAGAAAAATGCATTTTAATCCATATCTAGTCCATGGATAGCCATGCTTTCTCAGTGCTGCGTCCATTTAATGCTTTTGAGGTCAATTCCATCCTGCACCATTTCCCAGAGAGGGCTGTAAAGAAAAGGGGAAAACTGAGAGCTAGCTAAAATGCACAGGACATCATCAACAATAATTAAACAGATTTTATCAATGACACAAGAAATCAGGAGATATCTATCTGCCTGTCTTGCCCTCCTGAAGGTCAGTAACCTTCAGGTGATCAGCCCACAACGGTGTTCTCAACCAAAAATACAAGAGATGAGAGGGCAGCTGCTCCACCTCATTTCTTGCTCCCACTTTCAGCATAAAGCACTGGTGTCTCTGAGACCGAACCCTGTCCAAATGAGTCACCAGTCTTTCAGTTTCACCAGAATAAAACTACTTATCAATACATTAACTCAGTAATACCACCTCTGGCTTAAAACCTCCTAGGTTCTGCTCTGAGTGCCTGCCCTACTCATATTCTTTCTCTGATAAAGGCAGGACCTGGGAAAAGGTTTGGTTTCAGGTTTGTTTCCTTAGAAGTTTGTCACTTGGTGATACAGAGAAACACCACCAGATTTTTGAAGCAAACAATTACTTTCAACTAAACAAATCCAATTCTTCCCAAGATTATCACACCTAAGAAGTCTTTGTGTTCAACGAGACAATGTCTCACCTCATTTCCCTCAGCCTCTTCACGTGCTGTATGCATTTCTGCACTGTATAATCCACTTCTTCTTCTGTAGTGAAACGGCCAATGCCAAACCTAAATCAAAAGAAAATCATTAAGGAACTGTGTAACAAGCATATGGAGGGGTGGAACAAATACACCATTTACTTTTATCAGAAAAGAAAAATATTTGGAAGCATTAGGGCAGACCACACCACACACCTTATAGATGAGTGAGCCAAGTCTTCATCTGTTCCAATTGCCCGCAAAACATAGGAAGGCTCCAGAGAGGCTGATGTGCAAGCACTGGGAAAGGGAAGGCAGGGAAATGTCAGACTCTTACTTAATCTCCTCCAACAAGGAACAGATCACTTGCCCCTTTACAACACCCTGTATCAGCATCCCAAACCTCCTAGAAACTACAAGTGAATACAAGCAAGTAAAGTGATATTTCTGCTACTGAAGAAAAAAGAATACAAGGGGCAGGCATTATCGAGAAATGAGAGTAATAAATTAGGAGTATAAGGAAAGGAGAGAGACTACAGATAATACACAAGAATAAACAAAACGCCACTTAGAGGCAGCAGGAATGCAGATTAAGAGGTAGTTGAAGTAGAGGCTGTGAAAAAAAGACAAAGACAGAAACCATCCAGACAAGATAACACACCAGGAACATAAAAGGGAAAAAAAAAAAGACTTCACAAGCTGCTGTTTGGCAGCAGAACAAATAAATGAAAAACAGTGCACAGAGCAAGATGATTGCAGCTGTCAACAGGGAGAGCTTCCACCTTACAGCAGTGTACAGAACTGGTTACATGCGGTGACTCCGTTTTTACCGGTAGAAACACACACTGCCCACTGGAGAGCTGTAAACAGCTCCCCAGTGCCCAAAGTAGAGATTCAGAAGAGATCTTCACATTATAGAAGTATTTGTCTTCAGGGAGGGTCATGTGGAGACTTGTTCTTCCTGCTCATATTGCCAACCAGTTCCTAATTAGGATATGCTGACCACTTCATTCTCAAAGGTGAGAGAAGGAGAGGAGGGGAATCCTTACACTCCATTTAGTTCATCATGAACATCAGGTTTGTGTTGGTAACTGAATTACTCATCACTCTTGTAGTCAGGAGAGCTCCATAAAAGCACATGAAAGTTTTCTTTCTTGCTTTTGCATTTAACACAGGAATTATGAGCTGATTCAGTTCAGATACGTGCCCAGCCTCACTAACTGCAGTTAAAATCTGCCAAAGGACAGAAGCTGTTCAAATCTTGGTGGCCTTCAGAATGAAAGTGTCACCACTACAAGTCAAGGCTACTCAAATAAGCAGTTTGCAAGGCTAATAGGTTGGAATTTCTGGGCTGATTTTTGTGGTTTTGCGGGGATCTTTTTGTTAGGATATTTTTTGGTTGTTCTTTTGATTTTGGTTTTGTTTGTTGCTGTTTTCTTCCAGGATAAGTAAATTTCACCTTCAGTTGAAATATGTCACTTAAACACCACTGTAGAACGTAATCAATGTCAGGCTGACAATAACTTTATATTAACCGAATATATAATTCAACTGGCTCAATAACTGAAATATGGGGCACAGAGGAGACTACTACTTAGCTTTTACCTTCATTAGCAGATGCTATTTTCTCTCAAAAATACACTCCTATCCTTCCCATACATTCCACATACCTTCCTGAAGACAGAGCCACATCTTTCAGAGCCATCAGAAGACTCTCCCCTTCCACATATGCAAAAGATAAATTGATGCATCCTACATAGAAAAAATTAAATAGAAAAAAGAATCCATCAACTAAAATCTTAGGCAAATTGTTCCCTCTAAGGCAGGACTTGCATCATGTGCTCAAGTGCATTATTCAGCCACAGCCATTAAGGAGACAGACAGTACTAAGGGCTCCAAATTTTGCTTGAGTTACCTGGATAGCGATGGTCTCGATCTCCATTCATCACCACATCAGGAACTTCACTCATTATTTTTGTAACCAGTCGTTCTGCCAGTTGGGAGATTCGCTTATGGTCATACTAGCAGAGAAGTCAGAAAAGACACAAATAATAAACAGTGTACAGTCTGACCGCACTCAAACTGCTTCATGTCACCAGCTGCAAGCACAATTAAGTAACTGGGTTTGGCCATAAAAGGGAAAGAACACAGCTAAAATTTAAACTCTCAAACTTCACCTGCTCTAGACACTGTTTCAAAAGAGAATAACCCCTTGGCTCCTAGCTAGCTCAGTCTTCACAAATGTTTCAAACCATTACAGAAGTTCCGCATACACAAGCTGCCAAACTGACTTTCATTAAAGCACTGAGTTCTTTGGGTTTAAAGACAAGTTAGGCAATGCAGAAGATGATGCATTTTGTAACAAGAAAGGGCACCTATTACAGCAAGTGCTTCTTATTTCCTAGGAGCTCTCTAACTAACCCACAGAAAGACAGACTTTCAAATTACTATGAACTCAGCTTTTACAATAAGTAACCTGCATGGTAGAAACTGCCCATGTGCAATGTCTTGCTCTAGACTGAAAAATGAGGTCACTTATACCAAGAAAGCAGTAAGGTCTGGGATCAGCTTTGGCACACAGAACTGGCCACAAGCAATTCATGATTGTTTACACTTGAAAAAGTTAAAAGAAAACCAGGTTAGCTCCAACATCAACTGGTTTTAAAACGCCTTAACTATGCCAGGCAAGGAGGAGAATCCCAGTCTGAGGCTTGGTGCAGAATTCAGACTCTGCAGGCTCCCTAGCCTCAATTTCCATAACCATACAGCTCAGATGGTGGAATTCTGCCTGTCTCCTGGAAAGAAGCTTGATCCTTTGGGTGCAGATATCTGGCCTATGCATCCCATTGTCACTAAGTATTTTTACATTCCAGCTGTAAGGAAGGTATTGGTGCCCACAAACCAATGTAGAGGCTCAAACACCAGACCTAGCAAGTAAACTTTACTGTCCAAGCCAGGAAAAACAAAAATAAATTCTTAGTTGCAAAACTGCAGTATACTTTAACTTATACTTAATAAGTACAGTACATATAATAATGGACTAGGAAGTCTTATTTTTTCAATATACATTACATAAACATGACAGTCATTTCAAAGATACTGCTAATGCACATGTGCATAATGAAGAAGTAAATACAAGCACATAAGAGCCGTATTTCACTAAAACTGACTGTCAGTTGTAGCCTAGTTGTAGAAAATTATGACTCAGACCACTTCAAGAGAAAATAAACTCTAGAAAGAACTTAGAATTACCCAAAAATATCCCTTAAATTCTCAAAACATTCACTTAATGCTAAAACATGAGAATGAAATTTAATTCAGTTACATGGATGCAAAAAGACCTAAGGAATCCAAGACCTAAATGGTGCGGTTATACTGTTTTCTGGAACCCAGGACAAGTATCTTTTTGCACATACCTCCATCTCTTGCTGTGCCACTTCACATGCTGCCCCCAGTCCTACTGCTAGAGGTGTGGGCACAGTCCCAGACCGCAGTCCTCTCTCCTGGCCTCCCCCACTCTGCAGGGGCTCCAGCCTGACACGTGGTCGGCGGCGAACATAGAGAGCACCAACCCCTTGGAAGCAAGGAAAGCTGCTTTACCATATGCCCAGAGTTCTGAAAGTATGAGTCCAAGCTTTGGTAACATTCCTTATTTCCACAGCAAACATACAGGTGGACACTTAACTGGTGACAAATAAAGCAAACAAGTTCAGTATTATTTTCTAGGAAGTGGGTCCTAGTTGATCCGCAGTGATCATGTTCAAGCCCAGCGAGCTTCAGCCATGGCAGGTCAGCTTCTTTCACTCTTCTTCAGTCATTCACGGACTCAGCACTTTCCTTCCTTCCCACAATTCCTGTCCACAGCTGAAGTTCATCCCCCTGCACTGAAGTTTTTACGTGCATTCACTAATGTTCTCTTACTGACTTCCAAAGTCTTACCCTGGACTACTAAGCCACCACCAGTTTCAGGAGTCCTCTCCCTTTCTTCTCATTAGGAAGACTCATTAGGGGCAACAATTTTCAGTGAGTGGATTAGATAAGTCAGTTTTGCTAGTCAGTCAATTTAATGCTCTATTCTCCTCATCTAGAAACCAAACTTTCATGTCTTCAAGTGCCCTGGTACACTTAAGGAGTGACTGTCACAACAGGAAGGACAGTTGCAACTTCCAGGTATAACAAATGGTGAAAATTTATGTCTGTCATCTGTGCAAAATTACTGGTTGAAAACTTAAGCTCTTGTCCAGAGATAATGTCTTCAGTTCTCAGCAGAACTCATACAGAAAAAAAAATGTGTTGAAAAATAAGGATTTTGTCTTTTGTTTCCAAACAGCACATAGCATACAGCAAACCTGATTGCTGGCTCTCTAACACCCACTGTCACAAACTAAATGGACTTTGACAATAATAATAGCTGGACTTTTAGTATTTGTGAGTCAACCAGAAAACTCATAACTGGATATTAAACCCCATTCTGCAAAGAAAATGCACAAATGGAGTTGAGGGAATAAAGCCACTGGAAGGATAAAACAACCAAAAATCACCAATTAGTTACCTTTTTGGTCTCCTTGTTGCAAGTCACACTCTGGTCTAAACTTTGCCCTATAACCAAATGATTTCATTTCAATCATTTCAGCATCAGTTCTGCTTCACACCAAGCAGAGGACTCCTGAAAACCCCACTGCTGTAATGCTTCCACCATTATACAACACTGTTTCTTCCTTCAGTGAAGCTACCTTAACCCATCTAGCACTAAAGATCCACTTCCTGCAGCTCTACTCCAGCAGCAGTGCCTGAGCTATTCTGAAGTCAGTCCAAGATCACTCAGAACAGTTTTCTACAGCTTAAGTAACTGACACTATGACAAATGGGTTTGACTTCACACCTTGTGTGTGTGAACCTACAATGGAAATAACAATTCCCTATGAAGAACTTCAGTGAGTACCTTTGGGCCCATAAATTTTATGGCCACTGATGCTCATTAGGTCAATTTTCATGCTGTTGACATCCATAGGAATTTTACCAATCGCTTGTGCAGCATCTGTGTGGAAGAAAACCTTATGTGCACGGCAGATCTCACCTGTAATAAAAACACCAAACCAAAACCAGATTATCTTAACGAATTCCTACGATCCCAAGGATTTCGGCAATGGATCTAAAGAATCAGTGAATCTAAAACAACAGCAAGTTATTGAGGTATCTGAGGTGACAAAGGCAGAAATGAGGGCTGTGATGGTGCTTTTACAGTGAAGTGGCTAAACCTGTGCCAAGATGATGCCTTGGCACAGGTTTAGGCAGGTAAGACTACAGTGAATTTCTTCAGTTGAGAAGTTAAAAAGTGTTCTGTTAAGAACTGAGATTATTTCCAAGCCCACACCTAACAAGTTTAAGAATAAATGGTTGCGTGAAATATCAAAGTCTCCACACAGGAATGACTCTGCAGCTGGACAAAATTGTTTTTTCTTGGTTCTTTTTCTTCTCAATGTCCAGTACAAGCCAGCCTTCCTTTCAAGTTTGTATTTGCCATGTATTTTTATGTAATTTCCTCTATTTTTCAAATTTTCCAATACTCAGCTTCAAAAACATTTTCAGAATTGTCACACACACACTACTACCACCTGAAGTCAGTTGAGCCTGACTAAAACATCACCACGGTAAAATATACAAAGGAACAAAAGAATGTATTGTTCATGGGCAGTAAAAGTAACTATTACTTATTTTTGTCATCAAAAAAATCTCAACACATCTTGCACAGAATCTGCACAGCTGTCCTCTGCACAAGAGCTTCAACATGATACTTCACAAGATAAGTAACCCTCCTTATCCAGCAAGGTCAGGCCACAGGCCACATGGTAACAGGACCTCAGGCCTGGCCTGTTGGACCCGTTATCAAGGTGTTTTGAGAACATACTGGGGGAACTAGAGCTGGCACCAGCTGTCGCTGGCATTTAAACATGGGACATAGTAAGGACCTTGACAATATAAGCACAGGAGGAAAATAAGAATCCTTGGGCCTATAAGCAACTTGCTGAGGTCAAATGTTTGTCAACGAAGAAACAAAACCTTGAAAAACCCTGGCAAAAATGCTGCTTTGAGCTCAATGAAGGAAAAAAAAATGCAGCAGGTATACAAAAAAAACAGGTGCACAACAAGATGCCTGCCACAGCCGAAGAAAACAATACCCTATGGAGTATGTACTCCAGAGCAGAGCAAAGCCAAAACATTGTCTAAAAACTCAAACATCTCATGAAAGGATATCTTGAATATGAAGGTGTGCTGGTTTTGGCTGGGGTAGGGCTAACTTTCTCCACAGTGGCTAGTATAGGGCTGTGTTTTAGATTTGTGCTGAACACAGGGATGTTTAGAGAGGTGTTTCTGACACTGCTGACCAGGGCTTGCACAGAACCAAGGCCTCTTCCACCCCTCATACAGCCATGCTGGCAAAGGGGCTGGGGGTACGTGGGAGGCTGGGAGGAGACACAGCCAGGACAGGTGATCCAAACTTACCAAAAGGGATATTTCAGACCATATGACATATGCCACAGACTTTCAGTATAGAAAGCTGGGAGGAAGAAGGTGGAAGGGGGAGACGTTTGGAGTGATGGTTTGTGTTCCCAAGTCACCACTGTGCGGGATGGGGCCCTGCTCTCCTGGAGGTGGACGAACACCTGCCTGCCCATGGGAAGCAGTATAGAATTATTCGTTTTTCTTTGCTTGTGTGCATGGCTTTTGCTTTCCATATTAAACTGTCTTTATCTCAACCCATGAGTTTCCTAGCTTTTACCATTCCATTATCTTCACAATCCTGCTGGTGGGGCAGTGAGTGAGCAGCTGCAAGGTGCTTGGTTGCCAGCTGGGGTGAAATCAGGACAGAAAGGGTATGTGTATATGTTTTGCTACTGTCACAGGAAACTTTATCAACAAATCGTCTGGGATCCAGGGACCTGGAGGACCATCAGGGAGGCACCTGCTCACCCTGCTTGCTGTAACAACCATGGCTCTCCAATGTCTCCCTTCATCTGCTCTGAGGTCCCTGTCACTCCACCTGTTGGCTCCGAGCCTGGCTCACTCTCCCTTCCTCCTGTTCCAGAAGAGCTACAGCTCTTCAGTGGCCTTTTGGCCTACAAAGGAATTGTTCATAACTATATATGACAATACCGGGGGAAGGATTGTCAAGTGTGATTCTCACCATCCTCTCCCACTCCAAATCCCGCACATTTCTCCTCTTAAACACTACAAATGCTCACTAAATCATTATAGTATATAAGCTGAGTTTTGGCCAGTTATTCTCTACAATTTTTCATCCATTGTACCATCCAATGAATTGCAGCTGATCCATCCAGAGCAGTGACTGCTACAATGCTCACCATAAAGGTACTGAATTTCATTCTCATTTCCCTTTTGAAATCAGGTTTTTTTGAGACAGCAGTATTATTTATTTCTATTACATTTTTTATTTTAAAATATTTATGCTATTATTTTTTCCTTAGCTATATTACACCTAATCTTTTGCACCAGTACCATTCGGGGATGAAAACATTAACTAACATGAAGCAGAAGCAACCTTAGCTGGTATCTAGAAGCCACAGTGTACTTACCAATGTCATGAATTGGCTGTTTTACTCCTATTTCATTATTTACAGTCATTACAGAAACCAAACTTGTATCCGGCTGGAATGCAGCCTCCAGTTCCTAGTGAAAGATTGAGTGACAAAAGTTGTGACTAACAGAAAAGCAGGATTCCTGTGCATACCCTCAATTTACCAGCAACTCAACCATCAATCTCTCATTTGCAACAAACACCTGAGGTTCTGCAAAACAGCCCTGGGGAGAACACTAACCCATGTGAACATTAAATGTCTGTAGGAAGAGGAGTGAATCAATTTTATTTCTGCACGTCCTAACCTTTTGATGCACCTGCCACCCCACTTGATTAAATCAAATCTCAAGAGGCTTTGCTGTATCCCATAAATTTCTCTGAACTATTTTCTTTAATGAATTAACCACCCACAGAACAGCTTAAGCCTCTTCTAGCCAAGGTGAGGCTGGCTGTAAAGGAACTGCTCTTTATACAAAAGTCACATTACACCTGCAGCAACATGCTCAGAAAACATGACTCATTATTGTGCCCATAGGCGTGACTGGTCCCATCACACACACCACCGCTCTCCATGGCAGGTGAGGGACTGGGAGTAAAATTGCTGCTGACCTGTGCTACAGGACGTCAATGATGAACTAAAAACATGCAACTTCTACATCTCAGGGCTGCAGCCAATACATACAGAAGGGGTGGCTCACGGACAGCCATAGGAAGTAATGTAATCACTGAAACACTGCCTTGAGTACTGGGTTCCTTATAGGGTATAAAACAGCTCAACCTGCACAGCAGCAACTCAACAGTGGGACAGGGGTGGATGTTTTGGTTGAGAAAAAGCGTAGGGCATTACACATAACAGAAAATCCTTCTCCAGATCTGACAGATTTGACTATGATTCTCATTCTACTTCGTGATATTTATCATCCTTTCCTCTTTTTCATCTAGAGGACATAAGGTTTTGAGCATAGATTTGAAGCAAAAACCTTTTTTATTTTTAGTTTCTTTCTATCAGAAACAACTTACCTTCAGATCTATGAGTCCATTTTTTTTAACAGGTAGATACGTGATGCGAAAACCTTCTGTTTCCAGGGAACGACAAGAATCCAACACACATTTGTGCTCTGTTTGTGTAGTTATGATATGCTTTTTTCTGGATTTATAGAACCTTGCAACACCCTGTCAGGCACGGTCCATGAAACAGAAATTAGCCACTGAAGAAAGCAGGCACTACACAGTATGATTGGAAATAAGAAATTACTTCTTAGATGTAATTCATTTGGACCTTTCCTGTTTGACCCAAATCATGAATCTAAAAGGTAATAATCCTAATAATCCACAATACATATCTTCATCAGCATCTGCTTTTCAAAGCATCTCACTTCTCAAAAACTCTGTGAAAACGTTCAGTACTGCTAAGCTGTAGAAGCCATTAACCAAAGCATTTTTTTGAAAACTTTTGCAGTGGAGTCATAAACACTGAGAAGTCTGAACAACTACATACTACATACACAACCTGGTCTTCATCAGAAAGAAGTTTCTAATCTGCATGTCCACTGTATTTCACAATAAAGATTTTAATTAGATAAGCAGAAGGATTGTATTTGGCGTATGCAAGATAAACATCAAATATTTCACACTGTCCTCAAAATCATGTCCTGGCCACTAAAACATTAATCCATGTATTTTCTCCACATATGTAAGAGAGTATCACAAAAAGTAAATCCAGAAATGCAAATATGTTATACTCCAAAATCTTAACATTTAAATTGTTGAGAGATGCATACAGGTCCTAAATACAAAATTGTAACATAATAAATAAGAATTTTACCTTAATTGCCATATTATTAGATTCTGTTGCACCACTGGTAAATATAATTTCCCGTGAATCAGCTCCTATTAAGTCTGCAACTTGCTGTTTAAAAAGAAATACGAATTTGACTTGTTAAGAAAACATACAATGAATTCACTAAAGCCAAATACATGTGAAATTTTTCAGGAATGCTCCCTTAAGATTCAAAGGGATTACAGCTGGTACCCAACAGTTAGGCTACAAACAGTCTAAATATCTCCATAATAAAACACACAAGAAATCCACAGTCATTAGGAGTGGTATTAAGCATTAACCTGTTATAAAGGAGACAAAAGCTTAAGTAGACGAAACTTCATTACACATTACTTAAAAAAAAAAAAAATTACAAACACCCTTACCTAAGATTAGAAGAATGATAAAATACGGAGTTAGTCCAATGACTGCAGCAACATGCTTGTTATTCCAGGAACCCAAAAATACTGAGGCATTTTTACTTAAAGTATTGGTTTCTGCCATTTCAGTTACTCTAGTCTCACTGTTGGAGCAAGTGCCAGCTTCTGCACCTGAGACTGGACGACCATGGGTGTCCAGACAGATTTGGGTACAAGAGGCTGGAGAGCAGCACCACAGAAAGAGACCTGGGAGTTTGGGCTGAGGGCAAATGCAACAGGAGCCAGCAGTGCCCTGGCACCCCCAAGGGCCAGTCCTGTCCTGGGGGACATCAGGCCCAGCAAGGGGTGACTGTCCTGCTCTGCTCTGCACTGGGGTGGCCTCATCTCGAGTCCTGGGGACAGTTTCGGGCAAATCTATACAAAGATATTAAGTTATTAGAGAACATCCAGAAGAGGGCCATGAAACAGTTAAGGGCCTAGAGGAGAGTCTGTAAAACAAACAGCTGAGGTCACTTGGTTCTTTCAGTCTGAAAGGGTCAAAAGGAAGCTGAGGTCAGACCTCACTAGGGGCTGCAGCTTCCTCATAAGGGGCAGCAGAGCGGCAGCTCTCTGCTCAGTGTCCAGTGATAGGGCCTGAGGGAACAGACAGACTTGTGTCAGGGGAAGTGCAGGCTGGATATTAGGAGAAAAGTTTTGTACCCAGAGGGTGGTCAGGCACTGGAACAGGCTCCCCAAGGAAATGGCTACAGCCTTAAGCCTGTCATAGTTCAAGGAGTGTTTGGACAATGCTCTCTGGTACATGGTAGGATTGTTGGGGTATCCTGTGCAGGGCCAGAGTTGGACTTGATGATCCTTGTGGGTCCCTTCCAACTTGAAATATTCTATGATTCTATCTTTTCCTGCAATAAATCTACTAAAGCTACAGCTAAGCAGAGAGGAAGCTGTTAAATCCAGCCCACAGAGAAGAGAGGATTTTTCTTATTTTTTTCAGGTTCTTTTGATCCTGAATTTCCTCAGCAGCAGGAAAACCAACACAACCGTGGAGAGCCAAAGACTCACCCGCCTCGCATTCTCCATGGCAGCCTCGCTCTCCCAGCCGTAGGCGTGGGTCCTGGAGTGCGGGTTGCCATAGTAGGCTGTCAGGTACGGGAGCATGCTGTCCAGGACTCTGGGATCCTGGGGAACACAAACCACCCAGCCTTAGAAAAGGAGAAGGGAAACCATATCTGTTCCCTCTGGACATGCCCTCTTGCCACAGGATCAGCAGCACTTCTGTTACAGTGTTTTGCTTCAGCTTATGCCTGACCTTGAAAACTTGAGGCTATTACATGTTATGCGTAATACAAGTACTCGGCAAATATGTTCTGTGAATGTAACCCTGATCTGCACCAAAGGTCAAAGAAAGACAGCATCATTTGAGAAAATGATGAGCGGTTTGAGTTGGAAAAGACTTTAAAGCTTAGCTTGTTTCACGCTCCTGCCACGGACAGGGACACACTTTCCACTAGATCAGGTCACTTCAAGCCCCATCCGCTCTGGCTCTTCTTCTGAGCAGAAAACATAAAGGGTCTTAAAATGTTAAGAAGAACGTCACATCAGTATTTTGGTTGAATTCCCTTCCTGCTTCTCGCAACTGTCCCCACTCCCGCAGGGGTCGGTGAGCTCCCGTCCTGCGGCGCTGGGGCTGCCCATCCTGGGGCTCCCTGGCGCAGCTAGAGCCCTTCCGGGGGGTGCCCAGACTGCCCTGTGGTGACAGGGACAGCCTGTCCGCCTCTGTCCCCCACGGCAGCTCGGGACACATGCGACCGCTGGGGCGAGAGAACCGGGTGTGGGGTCCCCGCTCTGCGTTCCGTGCTCGATGCGGCCCTTACCAGCGGGGTGGTGGCCTGGACATCCATGTAAAGCGGCCGAGGAGCACCGCCGCCATCGCTGGTTCGCCCTGAGGAGAGAAGAGAGGAAAAGCCGCTGTCAGGGGCCGGCAGGAGCGGGGGAGCTGTCCCTACCCGGACAGGGGCTCTGCCCGACCGCGGCCTTACCTGATCCTGATCCTGATCCTGATCCTGATCCTGATCCTGATCCTGATCCTGGTCCTGGTTCTGGTCCTGGTCCTGGTCCCCCCGCCCGGAGCCTCCGAGGGGCTCGTTGGCCTCTAAGAGCCCCCAAGCGCCGCCACAGCAGCATGGCGCGCGACGGCCCGAGCGCGGCCGGACCCGCCTCTTCCGGCACGTCACGGCGCGCGCCGGAAGCGGGGCCCAGACTGGCGGAGGCGCGGTGCGGCCTAGCGAGGTACGTGCACGGCGGGGCGGGGGCACACGAACGGGAACAGGGGGGACCGGGGCGCTGCGGAGGTGAAGAGCGCGCTTAGGATCCCGGTTCGCCCCCGAGAGCTCTTGCGCCGGACGGCAGGCGATGGCCGCCGTTCCTGGGGCGTACCCGTCCTGGCCTCGGTCTCCATAAGGGTGGGTTCACTGCCCACTCCTCTGCCTCCGAGACCGGCAACAGCCGGGAAGGACAGACCATCATAGGAGGCTCGGTCAGGTGCCGTGTGCGCTGCTCACTAGGGACTGAGAGCACATAGGATGAGGCCCCGAAACAGCCTCGGCAGCCACAGCGGCGCTCGTAGGAGCTTGTTGCGGGGAGACGAAGAGACGAGGCCGTCGTTCCCTCCTTGTTCTTCCTACCTGACAGGCAAGGAAACAAGCCTGGGAGCCAGCACAACCTCCAGTGTTGCACGCGCGAGAAGCTCTGAGCTGCAAGGGCCGGCCTGCCAGCCCAGTTTGGTTATAGAAGTCTGTTAGATAAAGCAGTAAATCGATATGGGTATTGTCCTTTCTTTTTTAGATGCCTGTGACCGTAGGCCCGTACGGGCAGTCGCAGCCCAGCTGCTTTGACAGAATAAAGATGGGTTTCATGATGGGCTTTGCAGTGGGCATGGCTGCAGGAGCGCTGTTCGGCACCTTTTCCTGCCTCAGGTACGCCAAGGAAATGGCTTCCACAGACAGGGGGTGACAGGGCGATAGCCAGAGAGAAATGGTTCTGCTATGGCGTTAGGAAGGGATTGGGTCTGGTCCTGTGCCAGTCCCATGAATGGAACTTTGTGTGTGACTGCAGCTGCCTGCAGTAAGCCCTGGCCTCCAGCAGGTGAGTCTGGTGCTGGCAGGGCATCACCTCTGGCTGCCCCATATGCCGGGAGGTCACAGTTTCACTGACCTTTTCTTACCTCTCGTAAGGGAGGTTCATTGGGACGCTGAGACTGTGGAGGATCAGCTCCAAGAGGAACTGGATGAATTGTCTGTGCAGATACATGTGTAGCCCTCCCCTGGCCCTAAAGCTTCCTGAGGTGCTCTGTAAGCTCTCAGTGTCTGCATCATGGTCCCTTTTCGTGTGCCGTGCCCTGCACAGAGGCAGTTACCAAATTGACCCTGAGTCTGAATGGCGGGAGGGTGGGTAGAGCATGGCTGGCATTGGCACAGTCCCACTGTGCAATGGCGAGGGGCAATATTCCATCTTCTCCTGGGGCTCGCCAGCATGCTGACGTGAAAACAAGCTGTGCTTGCTGCTTTGTGTTTGCTCTGGCACTGCTGACTGGCTTTGCACATTATCTATGACAAAGAATCACTGAAGTCAGCTCTTTCATACTTTGCAGAACTCTTTCTGTTCAATAGTTTTTACCCGTGATTAAACATGGTCAATGATTTGGTAGTGAGGTGAGGGAGGAAAAGGCACAAATCCTAATTCAATGGGAGTTTGAAGTTTTCTAATTTCTCTCAGTTCCCGGAGGGTAAGCAGCATGATGCTAGCAGAAGATACATATTTAGGGCATTTAGAAGAACCAGTGAGAATGGATCTGTTGTACTTGAACAATGCAGCTACAGTATACTTCTGCTGTTCCATTTTTGAGGGAAAATCTCATGCTTTAAGAATGAAGTGCTGAGGAGGCAGCAGCTGTACAGTTGCACAAATTTAGATGGAAGAAGTGTTCAATTTGCAACCATGAGCTGATTGTTTCAGATGTTTTCTACTGCATGTCTGTGACCTGTCAGGTTTCAGCTTTTAATCCCTGTGATTTTCTTTTATCTCAGGATTGGCATGAGAGGACGAGAGCTGATGGGTGGAGTTGGCAAAACGATGATGCAAAGCGGAGGGACATTTGGGACATTCATGGCCATTGGTATGGGAATACGCTGCTAATCTGGAATTTGGGATTTATCCCACAGTGCCCCCAGCCAGCCATTCCTCTGCTATACAATAATAAAGTCTTTAGCTACTTGGAAGTGAGAGCTCTTAATGAAATAGCACAGTCCTACCTGCTGTGCTCTGCTGATTGTAAGCATGCTTTTAACAAAAATTTCTACTTTCTTCCCATCTCTTACTCCCAAAACAATGAGAATTAATCATCATTTTTACTACATTAAAGTTCCTGTTTTACACCTAGAAGTACACCACACAAGTTTCTCCCTTTGGCAGCTTACATTGCCTATGTGTATGTGGAGCTGCTGTGTTCCTTCATGCATTCCTGAAACTAGGAAAGTTAAATGGTGGGGACTTCAAATTAATGATCAAATTTCTGTCCTCTTGCCAAAATAGGTGGGTTGAAGCTGGTTTCATTTCTGAGTTCCAAGTGTCATGGGGCAGATGCCCTCCACAGAGTAAGGGAGCCCAGGCTTCAGGCGGGTCCCATAAGAGCTGTGCTCTCAGAAACAGCCTTTTCTTACATTCTAGTTTAGCAGGCCTACAAGGTGGTTGGCACCTCCCCCAGAGAGCAGAGGGATCCTTCCTGCTTCTCACCAGCCCCAAAAGCACTGTTGGTGGGTAGTCTTCCATTACTTGCCTTTTGAAACAAGGCCTCTATCTGCTCCTCCTTTAGTTCTGTGTAAGGAAGACGAGAGCAGCAGCACTACTCATACAAGTGCCTTTTCCCCAGTTTTTAAGGCAGAAACACAAATTCACCACTCAAAGCCTGTTCTCAGATGAAGCACACCTAGAAGCAGCTCTACTTCTTCAGCTGTGTTACTACTCCCAGGATCCTGCTATATTCCCAGCCCCTCCCCACCTTTTGCTTGCTGCCAGTTTCTTGATTAAGGACAGGCCCTGTCTCACTGCAGCTCAAGCACAGCTACAGCCCCCAGCGGTTGCAGAGCAGGTCCTCCCCCCCCAGTACCACAGGAACATCAGTAGCATTGATGCCTGCTTCATCTTCACCCACTCCCGAGGAATATTCCGTTCTTCCTACTCTCTCCACCGTGGCCTTTTCTTAATGGTTAAAAAGGCCAGGGAGATGGGACAGGGGTAGAAAGGGCAAAGCACAGGGGCAGGCTCCCTCTAGAAACCATACTGAAAGCCAGAATAACTGTCTCCTCCAGTCCCAGAACTCCCAACTATTTGTGAATGATGGGGAGTGAAGGTGGGCAGGAGGGGATCATCTCTGGACTGAACTTTAAGCATGCCTGAGGTTGTGCCCAGATCCTCAGCAACCATGGCTACACTGCCCAGAGGGCTGGGAACAGCTCCTGCACGTACTCTATGAGCACATGATATCATGTATCCCATGGCATACCTGGATACTGGGGAGCAGTATCCCAAACACTGGGCATAGCACATCTTCTATCACTCACCTCCAGGCCTAAGCACACACTGCTTAAGTGACATCGGGAAAGCAGAGAAATAAAGCTTCATGAAGGCCTTTTTAAGAGAATTTTATTTGAGTGGTTCTTACAAAGATTGTTGCAATATGAAAGTCTTTGATAGAAATATCAAGCTGTCTTGTCAAACACACTGAAGTAACCCAAAAATATATTTCAGAGCTCACAGAGCTTAAAAAGAGCAAAGATTATATGCAACCAGAACAAAACACGTTTCTGTATTTCCTACCCATTTTCAGACTTGGCTGAAATCCTTCAGCTCTTCCCCACTGCACACATGGAAACTCATCCGGAAATGCAGAGATGTTTTGTTTGGAAACTTAGACACACGTCACAGTATTTACAAAGAAACTTTTACAGATACAATAATCAAAAGGTACCATCAAGAAATAAAACCCTTCAATCCTCCTTAACCAATTATTCAGCACAAAGCAAGCTGAGTAGCTGTCTGAAGTCAGCCTTCAGTAGCTTTTTTGGATTTTCCATTTATAGAAAAACACTAAATATGTCACTTCATCCAGTCTCTCTCTGATACTACCCTTGAGCAGGTCACCCATATTTAGTGAAATGTAAAATGTTTTTGCTGCATTAAAAGAAAGGCTCATGAAACATTAAAAATGTCATTATGTCCCATCTGCCTTTTACAGAATACTTGTTATCTATGAGCTACTTCTCAGTTCCTACGGATCACCTTTGTCAATGTACAAGAATTACAAGGCAGAACAAGAAGTCAACAGCTTTGTATACAGTGGAAATGCTAGTTAGGGAAAATGAACACACAGCATTTCTGCTTACTTCATTTTATTTTTAAAGATAGCAGGAAGTGTACACAAAATGACATTAAATCCTTTCCTTTAGTTTTATCTAAATAAAAGATAACTCAATCTTCCTCCAAAAAATACCTATGTACAAAACTGACTAAATTAATCTTCATCGTCGAACAGGAACCAGTAGTTGGGTTGCAGTCATAGAGTCTGGGAAAAGGCTGTGGTATGTTGGAAGAGGTACATATGCTGCTGTAATCATTTTACCTAATCACAAGAGGAAAAAAAGTAAAAATCAGTGTTTGGTCATTTCTGTAAGGGACGATAATGTAGGCATGAACACGAAACACTCACCTGCAAACCACCTCCCATGCAAAGCATTGACAGCTGCAATGGCAGCAGCGATGGAGGGACATTTGACATACACATTGCCCTGCAAGACAAAACAGTGCAGCTCATAAGGAGTCAGAGACACTTCCCCAACACTGCTGCTCAGCCATCCCAGACCTGGCTGTGACAGAGGCACACCCGCTCCCTCAGTAACACAGGACGAACACAAAAGAAGGAGACAGTGGAACTGCCAGTCACTACTCCACTGTGGCAGTTACTGCAGGATTCAATTTTCCTAAATAGAATTTTGCAAGACAGCCCAAACATGCATTTGACTAGCAATCACTTGTGGCTTTGCCGGCTGGGACTTTCACCCTTATTCCCAACTAGCTCAGATGTTAGGATGAAGCCTCTGGGATCCGCCACATGGACGTGATAAAAAGAAGAGGCTCTTTCCCCCCTGGGGAGAATCTGAGGTTTATTTCTTGTGGTCCTCCAGAAGCAAAAAGAGAGCGAGGTCAGGGGGCACAGCTCTTTTCTAGGGTCTGTAAGGGGGCAGGAAGAAATTGGATCTCGGCCAACTAGGCACAGCCAGAGGGGAGAGGGACCAGGCCACAGGACATTGCAGGGGTCACGGAATCTACCATTTCCAGTACATCTAGGGAGTTACAACAATCACTGAGCCATGGGTGGCTGATCTGCTCCTGAGAGCCCTTTAGAAAGAGGATCTAAAGGCTCCTAATCATTAACACCATGTGAAAGAGAAGAGTACAAGGGGTCTGGCTGCCCCCAAGGCAGCTCAGCTACCACGGTCTATAAGCCACTAACCTCAACCACATACGCTTCACTCAACATGCAAGCTCACAGCCTGGATTCCACAGGAAACAAGCACTCCCCATTCCCCCAGACGGGAAGGACAAGCAGCACTTCAAGGGAGACTGATAGCATAAAAATTCTCCTACATAAACATCAGCATGTCTGTCTTTACTTGAACAAGAGCTGAGGCAAAGGGAAAATCCCATCCCTGCAGGGCAAGGAAGAGCCTGAGATGGTTCCCAATGTGAATGACAGATTCATCTTTGAACTTCACCAGAGACACCTGGAGTTTCCCATCTGCAGATCAAGCACTGTGTCTCCCTAATCAGGAGAACTGCAACAGTCACATCTAACAACTCCAAGACACACAGATGCCCACAGTAATACGTGGCATTTTTCTGGCTGCCTACTCGAAAACAGACCATCAGTAATACCCAAGAAGATCAATTCTTGCTGAAACATATTTTTCAGGAAAATAATATATTAGAAAACAGACTCCAGCTTTTCCTTAGTGGCTTTAGTCAGTCGGTATTAACTCCTCCCACTGCAATGTAACTCATTCCTTTCTCATGGGGTGAACCTGAGCTTAAGGGCTGGTGATTAAGGCACTAAGCAATCAATTAACACACACAGCTCTGCTCTCAGCCTCCCCCACAAAGGCACCCAAGCTGCTTAAATGCCCAAATGAGGTGCAGGAACACAAAGCTGTGGTTTTCCTTAACACCCAGCAGCACAGATAGCACTCAGCTGGGACTGTAACTGTCTCATCCACAACAAATCACACCCTCATAAGCCTGACAGTCCTCAGCAAGGAAGTCTGTCTGGGACAGAGCCCTGAAGGTGCCCAGAATCTAAGCCTGAAAAACAGAATGGTACAACGGAAACTCTATCAGTGGATATTTTATATCTGGGTCACTGCTGTGCTACTACGAAAAAACAGATTTCATTTTTTTATGAAACATTAACGCATTACATAGTAGCCTGTAGTTTCTTCTTTCAAATCCACCTGGTGAGGTGAAACAAATTTGCAGCTCCATGTGCTGAGAACCTATGTGAGGTATCTTGAGGGCAGGTGTAGTTTTGGGGATGGTGGTTTTTTTGGGGGGTTGTGCAGTGATTTTTTTTGTGTTTGGCTGTTGGGAGGGTTTTCTGGAGGTAGGAAAAAACCCAGAACAACCAACAACCCAGAACACTTCCCACAGAACCATTAATTTTCTCTAAATAACAAACACATTGTGGGCAATGTTTCTTCCTCTCATCAATCCAACGGTCCAAGATCACAGCTGTGATCTTGAAGATTACAAAATGCCAGGTAAGGCACCACATTGTTTTATGTGCTAGACTGCAGCTCCAATCTAACCTGTCAGTAACCCACAAGAAAGGGTTTCAGGTGACAATGGGGCAGCTGCACAAGACAGCAATGGTTGATGAGCACCAAGTGGATCACCATGGTAGAACAATCCCACCTAAGCACACCAATAGGAATGTGGGTCTCAGCCTTATACCTGAGCATGGATCACAAGAGGACATTTTTAGGGTCTGATGGATAACCCAACTATGAAACCAACTGAAAACTGAACTTCTGTTTGGGCTGTGAATTGTTTAAAAAAAGGGTTCCAGATAGTTAATCTATTTACAGATCTTCCAGAGTTTATACATTTTAAGAGCTGAAATACAGAGAAGAGGTAATCATTCTGGAGATAATGTAAACAAGGTGAAATCACAAGAAAAATATATTCAGCAGTTTCAGATGCAGGCATGAATCTGGAATTCAGTCAGCACCAGCAGTCTCTCTTCCCTATTTTAACTCCAAGCCCTCAGACTGCCCACTGCAAAGCTTTAATGTTATGAGTGACCACAACAACTTTTAAGCATGGGATGAGGCACCCATTTACCTGTACATCATAATTCTGTTGGAGCAAGGACCCTTTCTACTAAAGCCTGTGCTCTAGAAAGAGGAAATAGAAGTCCCTGACTTGTGGGAAAGGCACAGGTTAAGGAAAATGTCAAATGGCTGAACTGGTCACTGCTCTTCTACAGGAACTTCAGCTGGGTAAACCTCCAAGAGCACCAGAAATACACAAATCCAAGTTACACACAATGATTCACAACAGGAGGGAACCACCTACATTCTGCACAAAGGAAGAAATTTAGGTACAGTTTAGGAAAAGCTCCATGTTTGTAATGCTCCCCCTAGACAAAAAAGAGCAACGAACTTCTAACGTCTGCTCAGTGTGTCCCTCCTAGAAGCAGGCATACCTGAGCTGAGTTTTTGTCAACGTAGATGTGGATAACTCCTCCATGTTTGTTACATTCCTCAATCACATCATCCTTAATTTCTGTGTCCCAGCCAGCTTCTTCTTCACTGTACAGGGGAAGGCAAAACAGGACAGAGATAACACTCAGACAAAATCCACCCCCCAAAACCCATTATACACACTCTTGCAACATTCTGATTTCTTTCTTACATGTTAAAGTAATTGACAAATGCCAAACAGATAATGATAGATCACTTACGTTTGAGGATTAAACATGTTGGAAAGCTGGAAGCACTGTGTTGCAAGTGGCTGTACAGAAGCAGCTGCAGCCAGAACTGTGGTAATGGAAAAAAAAACATTAACATATCTAAGAACCTGCTATGCATGGCTCTAATTTATTCAGCATAGTAGAAACAGCTCTGACTAAACAGAAACTGAACGCAGGAAAGTAAAACTCAGAACCAGACACTACTGATGATAGATACATTTAAACTGATCAATACAAAAACCAGCACATTATGAATCACAGTTGAAGCTGAAAAGTAAAACTACAATCGTGTACATTGATTTTGGCAGATTTTCCATTTAAACATCAAAAGGTATGCATCTAAAATGTCTGCCTGAGTTGTATGTCAGCAGCACCTTTAATGTTTTGATCCTCATGGATGCCCAGCAGCAGCTCAGGACAGTACTACCCAGCTAACTGCACAGCAAAGGACAGACACCTTGGGGAATTCTTAAAACCCGTTTTAAGCATGTTGAATTATGCTTCAAAAGCATAATTCATCCCTTGAAAATGCAGATTGCAGGAAACATTTGACAACTAAAATTGCCCCTTGCCTATTACTGTGAAATTATTACTTGTAATTTATTGCTGCTTGTCATCTCAGTACATTCTATTAAACACTGTCCCACAGGCTGCCATCAATGAAGCCCCTTTCCCAATATACTTCAGACATTAAGGGTTATTAAGGGTTATGCAGTCAGATAATGAGTGACTTGGAGACAGTAAACCCGAACTCCTGATTCCTAAGTGACCCCTCTAAGGCAGAGAGAACACTCCTACCCAACCAAAAAAAACCAGCCCACACATTTTCCTGGACTAGGACATGGCTGGGGAATGTTACCAACACCGAAGAGAATGCTACAAAAAACTTTCATTAAAAAAACCAAAACAAAAAAACAAAAACAACAAAAAAAAACAAACAACAAACAAACAAACAAACAAACAAAAAACCACCACAGCATAATTCCCCACAGATACTTAAGTAACAGGACAATTTCTCAGGAATGGGCAAACCCTATACCAGGAGCATTTCCCCTGCGGACACCTGAAATAAAACCTACTAATTACAAGTCACATCAAATGCTAGTTTACCTTCATTCTGCTGAGACAGTCTCGTTTGTAAATCTAAAGAAAAATATAGAGAAGTTAATTAGTATGCTTGCTAGCATCACAGTATCATCACCTGCCAGCCAGGTTGTTCAGCTTGTATTTCTGTGGTTAAGAGCTTATTCCAGTCCCACAGTTTCTCTCTAGTTGTGAGTAGTTTCACTCATTTCAGCTTCTCTTGTGTACTTGACAGATTCCATGACCACAAAGCATTTTAAAGAAAAACAATACCTTAAAAGGGCAGACATGACCATGTCCTTTAATTCAACTTATCACTCATGTATCACTCCCAACTTGCTTTTGCTGTGATTCTGAGCTCTTTACAAGACAGTAATGTTTTACTCCATGACAAATTAATTACAGCAATTCTGACATACATTAGAGGTTTGACATCTTTACTACCAGAAAGCAGTTAAGCACATAGCTATCCAAACCTGACATTCTTAAAGCAGTTATCAAATTTCACTTCAAGTAGAATAAGGCAGTACTTCATCTGCTGTCCTTTCATATAGATGGCATAATGATACAAGTAACTTCAGTATTTTTCAAATTCAAAATGCTTTTAAGTGTTCAGAACATGTAATTTGCCTAGAAAACATCATTTACTTGTTTAACAACATATACTTGTCACAATTCAAAGTGAAAAGAGCAAACAAATGCAGACTTTCTAGCCAATTCCAAGTACATGACTTTAATACTTGACATCTTTGCACTACGACAAAACTTCAGAATTCATGAACTGTAAGCATAAGCCCCTTCAATCATGGTTCCATTTATGAGACAGTAAGTGTGAGAAGACTGAAGCAAACCATTACCTTAATTCACTCATTTAGAGAGTAGCAAAAGTGATGAGCACCAAGTAAGCTTCCAAGCTCACCTGGAAATACCTGAAGGCCCCAAGTATTAACACACTTTTTCCCTTTCTAATAAAACCTCCTCCACAACACTGGAGAAGCAATAGGAGTAAATGTTTTCACTCTAGATTTTCCTCATGTGCCTTTCCAACTGCCTTGCAAAGAAGAAAAAGAAGAACACATACTGGGAACCATACTGAAAAGCAAGAGCTGGAAGGAGCAAGCTCTGAAGGCCGAGTTGTAAAAAGAGCTGGCTATGGCATGTTTTCCATCCAGATCTGCACAGCAAGTCCTCATCTCCATAGAATGAGAAATATCACAATAGCAAAGGCTGCCTTAGCCTGTATTCTCTGCAGAAACTGCATGGTTTTGGCCAAATCTGTAACTAATTACCTAGTTAATTAATACTCAGACTCTTTTGAAAACAAAGGCATTTTAAAGAAATTCACAAATATCCTAACTCTCTCAATTTAGATGAGGACAGACACTTTTTCTGCTGCAATTCTAATCCATCATGTCCAGCAGAACTTGTCTATATGGGTCAGCCCAAGGCCCTACAGCCAAACGCTCCAGAACTCCTGCACCTAACATGGTAAACCTGCACATATCAGTGCAAATTCTGTCCAGGGCCAAGTAAGATGTGTTCTAAACACAGCAAACTCTGCTACCACTGTCTTGTGCAACAGTTTCATAGGCTAATTATCTACCACCTTTGAAACATAACCTGCTGCTCACCAGATCTTTTATCAACTAACTGGACTCTCTTGTTGCTCATCACTAAAGAGTGATCCTTTCCTCTCACTTTAAAAATCATCCGGAATTAAGAAATTCATTGTCACTCTTTACTGACAACTCACGTTTCCCTACATACAGTTTAAATAGTATGCGGAAACTAAAATTAATACATCTGCCAAATTCAGATCCAAGTAACTCTTTCAGTTTCATGTTCTTGTATATCACCTGTAAGAGAATCAAGTTTAGCATGATGGGAATACATGTTTAGTGTACAGAGAAAACAGAAATACAGACATCTATCAAAACACTTTTATTTATTTTAAGACACAGTTTATTTTGAAATCCAGATGGCTTTAAATAGGCCAAACCCTGCCAAGTATTGCCCAGTGTACCGAGTCATTTACTTTGAGCAGAGGCCAAATGGAAGTCCAGGATGATAATACCTATCCCTTACACCTGCAGCACACCGTCTCAGTTTTTCCATAAACAGATAGCTCCTTCCACAAGTAAGGAATGCTCTGTCCCACAAAGCATTAGAAGAATGTTCTATAGGCTGATTATTTTAAATTTCCTATGTTCAGAAAGAGAACAAAGAGTACACAGTTACAACTGTTCAGCTTCAAATTCTTTTTCCTGCTGGACTGTTCTCAATACAAATAATGGCCAAATCCTCAGGTGTCTCCTAAAACTAATTCTTCATCTTCCCTGCTTTAGTTTGATTGACTCCCTCTCAAAGATGGATTGTCCAAAGTGTTTGTGGATGTATACATTACACCTCAGATGCTCAGGTGTACTTGCCTTTAGGAACACAGCTGATATTTTAACGATGCACCCATCATGCTGCCAGGTCATATTCTGGCACTGATAAACTGAAGTATTCAGATATTTGTCTCCTCCTTTGCCATTTTTTCACTGCTAAGCTCCCAGACTATGTGACTGGAACTTTATTTAACCCTGAAGAAGTGGACAATGAACAACACCCCAAGAATTTCTTGTCAATAGCACCTACACATTTATTCACCTTATTCCTACTGCTGACCATTTTCATTCATATAAGTAATACAGAAGACCAGCCCAACACCTGAACTTTGGCTTTAACAACAGCCTCCAACTTTCCCAGCTTTCACCTGTAAAAAAATCTGAGCCAGCTTCTTGACACACCTTGTATTTCCTGTATTACCCACTTTTCCAGTTTAATAACTTCCAAATGACAGGAGTATAAAGATCAGCAAGAAGCTGCTCCTCCTCTGCCAAGGAAAGGCAGTTTTATCAAAGACTGTTGGTCTTTAAATGCAGTTTCTGACAGTGTGCTACACTTTCATAATGTTCTCCGGTAAGAAGGGTACTTCTTTGGTATGACTTCTGAAGGAGCAAAGCCTAGTCAGTAACAGGACCAGAATCTGGCCAGACCACATTGTTCATCCTTTAAGTGTACATAATTTAGAGTCACGTGTATCATGGACTTAAAATGTTTATTGACAATACCAGAAATGAGCCCTCATGTTTCACACACGTATTCCATCACTCATTTCATGGGAGTTTTACTCCTCTGAACTGCTTACATTAGCCTCTTTCTTTTAGCTTTGTTTCTACTTCGGGAGTAATTTTCTTTTTTTTCATTTTTGAACTACATATTCCTGTCTTACCTTCCTCAAATTCCCAACTTTATGACCCGTATCCCCACTACAAATAAAGGCAACAAAATACATAGAAACATCTTGGGAGTAGTTTTTCATTCACCTGCATCCCACTTCCTTTTTTTTTTTTTCCTTCAAGAGTTGATAAACCATCTATTGCTTTCAAGACTTTTACAATGTCTAACTCAATCTGTTTGGCAGACAATAATCAATTATCTTTTTATCTGTTTCCCAAACTAAAAATATTGTTCCATTATCAGTCTTTTTTCCTATTCTTCATAGGCTGTGTGGTCATTCATTATTTCTTTTAAGGTAGCTGATCACCCAGGTTTACCATGGAGCCCACACTAAAGGGGGCAGGACTTCTTTCTGTAGAATACAGATCCAACACAGGATTAACAATGTGAAACAAAAACTTTTCACATCCTGCCTGTTCAAACACACAAGTTGCTCAGATCGGAAGACTAAATTGCCTTGTTTCTTCAACCATCAGTTAGACCTATTTGTGTATCCTTCCATTTAAATGTGAGCAACTCACGATCCCTCAAGTCAATGGTCATTTCTATTCTCATCCATAATATCTTCATTACTTACCAAATTGAGTTTAAAATAGCATCCCCTCTTCATGAGTCAGTGAGTGTTTGATGAAGAAATTTGTCGGATATCACATCCAGGAATATCTGGGCCCCACCATTATTACTAGCAATTCTTCTCCAATCTGTATCGGGGAAGTTAAAGTCTCCCACAATGACATAATTCCTGGTAGTAATTTTCTCTAACAAGAGTAAAGAGATCTTTAATCCATAACCAAATCTCACTTTGGGGATAGCTCATGACTCTACGGCAGCAAAAAGCTTTATCTTTTTCCCAAGTTACTTAAGTTGCACAAGTCTGCATTATTCCTTTAGTACAATACAAGCGGAATGAACAATACTACCCCTACGACCTTTGCTTCTACAGTTGCTAAACATGCATATTCTTCTAACACCTGTATTCAGCCTCATCATTTATTTCTCTGCAGCCATGTTTTCTCATGCTGATTTCATCCTACCTGAACCATTCAGCTGTGTCAAGACATTTTGGCCATGGATTTTTTTGACCCTGTTTGTTTCAAATGCAGGGGAGGAAAAGGACTGGTGTTTATTTTAAACACCACCCGTTTCTAATTGCCAACATGTATTTCTACACAAGACTGCCACACTACTTTATAACCATTAATGTTGCTCTAACTTCAGCGCTGGTTACCTTTCCTTCTCTTTCTGGACTAGATACACTTTTCCTCACGTTTTTCATCCTTCTCAAACAGACAACCAACATTTTTCTGTCACAGGCCAGTTCCTTTTCCTTCCAAGGGGACACCTGTAGAACAACTCTATTATATTCTTTAAGCAACTGTCTACAGCTTCATATGTATGCTCTTCTTAAGACTGCACCTGATCTTCAGTAAAATGATTCAGGCCTATCTTACTAAGTCTGAATCACTTCCATCACAAGCTCTGCTGGAAGGCAAACAACAATGCCACCTTTTCTTTGCTACTTTCCTACCATTTCCCACACATTCCAGCATCTGGTTATTTGTGACATTCAGGTCTTTTCAACTGCTATGACAGTTGCTTATCTTTTATTCATAGTATTAATCAAAAGTAGCAAAAAAAAGTAAACTTCAGGGAGGTTACCCCCTGCTCTAGTTTTGAAGGCCCCATGAATAGTTTGTTTTTCAGGCCAGCTATGAACTAAGCTGCAGCAATCACATCCCTCAGCCTCATTCCAGCATGCCCACCTGCAGAATACACATAGAATTACAGCCAAATCCAAGCAACACACATGGTCCCTGACATAAAATGTCTTTTCTCACAAGGACATATGCTGTAAAAACACTGCTGCCATCTTTCTGATGTGTCCTCCATCAAGTCCCTATAACCTTCCTGTGTCTCTCACAGCTTTGGTTTTTTTAAAGAGGTCAATCCCCTTCCAATTCTGAGCCTGCCATTTTTAACAGTCAATACTTACACTGCAGTAGAACTTTCAAATCCTCACTAGCACAGAGAATAGTGAAGAGATAAAGGTTTGGGATGAAAAACAGCAGATTTGGAAAAATATGCAAAGTGAATCATACCCATCCAAATTGTGATACACTGTCACTAGTTATTTGCTTATGGATTTGCAGTGTTTTACCACTTGTAAAACATGATGCAATACTTCTGTTCTCATTTTAAAAGACCAAAAAAACATAATTAAGGACCTCCTGTCTCAAATTTAAAAAGTAATTAAAAAAAATACATATAGGCTGTAATTTCTTACCTGTCACAGCTCCAAAGGCCAAAGACCCACTCATCTGCAGAGCCTGCTGTGCAGCTGGAGGAATCTGCAAACCAGTACCTGGAACAGAACACAGAGAGACCTTGGAACAAGTCTTTTCACTCAGTTAGGGATGCAGTAACAGAAGTATAAAAAAATCTTCCTTTTATCAACAGATAAAAAATACCATGCATTTAACAGTTTCATACGTTGATGCTAACATTCTGTGAAGTGTTTTAACTAAAATTCTACAAACTTTTTCACACACTTGTTATGCAGCACTGTACCTTCTGCAAGTCTTGCCATCAGCTGAAGGCGACCAGTCGTTCCCAAGTCAATTCCAGTCCGTTCCAACTCATCACTGTCCAAAAACGAGCTAGCACTGGAAGCATCAGTACGCTCAGTTACGTGGCCGACTTTCATTGGCCTCCCAGCCAGCTCAAATCCATTGAGTTGTTCCAGGGCCTTTTTGGCACATTCAGAGTCTGAGAACTGTAGATCGGAAAAACAAATTCAGAAATACTTGCCTAAAGGACTCAGCAACACTTCTAATTTATGTAATATCCACAGTTACGCAAATAGGAGAAACCCGGTAAGGTAACAGCAACAAGCTAATGCAAATGTGTTTGGTATTTTTCATTTAAACCAAACACATGCATACTTTGGCATTTACTTTCTCATATGTAGGTACTATACATTTAAATATATTGTTGAAGTTATAGCATCGAGGTACTGCAATCAATAGAAGTCATGGCTGTGGTTCTCCTTCAAGAGTGACACTCAATTTCCTTTGCAACCTTACAACTGCCATGGTATTTACTGGTTATTCCTAAGAGATGTTCTGCTTTATGCTGAGAAACATCAAAATAAAGATACAAGCATTTTATCATTTTTAAAACCATCAAGTATGAACTATATATTAAGTTTGGTTTCATTTGTGTCCACATGCCAGAGGTCCCAGCTGAGACATTTTTCCCCATGACAAATTATCTGGTCAGCCAAGAAACCCAAGATCACAAAATTGTGTGCCTGAGGGTAAAGAGGAAAGAGGTTTTCAACTAAAAGTTTCAGCCTCTAAAATTTTATTTCCCCTAACAAGCTCAAATTCAATTATTTTCAGCTATAAAAAACACCACTCTTTACTAGTGTCTTTGCCTGCAGAAGCCAGCATTTGCTTTTGCAGGAACTGAGTACAAACGAAATTATTCCCATCGAAACACATTTATTGCTCATGCCCACACCACCATCAGAAACAAAGAAAAAGCCCAGTGCTGCATCCTGCAACATGACACTTCAAAAATAAGCTATGTAGAGTTATCAAGTAGCAATTTAGTAGCTCCTATGCAGATGTAACAAATTTAGATTATGATCAGTTCATTATGTTTAGATTGCTACTATATAACCACACAGATACACAGGAAGATTCATAGTTACTCTCCTATGTGGGAAGGTTACACTCAGAAATTGTCTAAGAAACGTGGCAATTCTAGTCATACCGTAATGAATCCATATCCTTTCGAGCGTCCAGTTTCACTATCCATCATGAGCTGAATACTTTCAATCTAAAGACAAGAATAAAGCTATTTATTATCAGACATTTTGGAACAAACCCCAAGATACCCAGACTACAACACGAAAACAGCTCTGTGTCAAATACACACGTGAATGTGAAATTGTTACTATGATTTTTTTTTTTAATTAGTTTCTCATTCCTTCCTTATTTCAAAATTAGTACACAGAGAGCTAAATAGGTACTTGGATATTAACACAGAAGCAGGTAAACATAAGGGTTTTGAGCTCATCTACAGGTAGAGGCTTGATCCTGATGCAGAATTCTAGCAGAATGAGCATGCAGACATGATCAGATTGTAACTGAAACACACTGATCATCGCACCTCATATGCTGAGAAGACTGTATTGCAAGCTAAGAAAAGCAGTATGCACGACTGACAAGGATCTTTAAGAAAAAGCTGTATATTTTAGTAATTATTGGTACACGGGAACTCCTAGAAGTTTACAGCTGCTGAATTTAAAACACATCTCTGAGTTATACATTAGCCATAAAGTAACACTGGAAGGACCCGAATACAGGGAATAAGAAGGAAAAATCTTCACAGGGCTCCATATAAGCCGCCTAAACTACCTTAATCCTACTGCCAGACCTTGATGGCAAAAAACAACCCCAAATCACCAGAAGTGAAGCCATGTGGATTAAAATTTAATCAATTGTAGCAATTGAGGGTTTTGCACAAGAGATTTAAAGGGATGTGCATACTGAGTCTGAATAAAGCATGTGAAAAGCATATAGTATGTGTATATGAGGCAGAGTTCATATCCAAAGACAGTAGGCAAAAACCTCCAACATTAACAGACTTTTTACCCATTAAGAAGCACGTTGAATATCTAATTTTTCCCCGACTTAAATGATACATACCCCAGTACTGTAGCACAGTAGGGCTAACATATTGTAACTCCACAGGAAACTTTAGGGTTTATCTGCTCACTTCCATAATTCTCTCTATATAATAATTTTATTATAATAAGCTGTATCCTGCTGCCCAATGCTCAGGAGTGAGAATGGGCCCAAGTCAGAGCTGTCTATAGGTACTGCTACTTCATGGTCTTAACATCAGCTAAAGCTGCAGCAAAGTCGTCAGAAACAGATGATAGACAGTACTCTTCTCAGAGACTTCAGCTCCAGTTCTGTGTTTCATGCTTTAACCCATGAAATGGGGCTCTCATTCACAATCCGGAAAGGGAAAGATACTACAAGTTGCCAGAGCAGGATACAACAAAGAGAATTTGTGTGGTTTCGGAGTATTTTTTCCCTTGTTCCCTAATTCCAGATATTCATTGAATTCTGAACTTTCTAAGACCTGCCATTCAAATTCACTGGACACCACCACAAATCCAAGTTTTCATCTGCTCTCCAATGCTACCTACATACCCCAAGGCCTGTGGATGCATAGGCACAGCAGTGCAAGAAAGAACTAAGTGTTTTGTGAGTATGAAGCTGAATTATTTCCAGAAACTGACAGTGCTCTACAACTAAGCTGGGTTTTTCAAATAAACTAACACAACATGCCAAATTAAAGTTTACCCTGCCAAATGGCTCGAAAATTCCTCGAAGCATATCTTCAGTTATGTTGAAGTGTAATGATCCTACATAGAGCCTCATAGGACCAGCACTGCCCTTCTGCAGGTTATTTGCCATTGCTGCTGCTCTGTTTTTCTCTGCCTGAGGAGAAAATAAAAATTCACCTTTGATTAGAAATAAAAAAACCCTAATATAAGAATATCTATCAGACCTAAACTAGAAGATTCAAACATACAGAAGCTGTTTCATGACATGCAGTCTATTCATCAGACTTGAACTGAAGAGCTACAAAAGCCAAGACCATGACCAAGTAGAGACAGATTCCAAAAGCCTTCCAATTCAACAACCTCATGCAGAATTCTGGTTTCTACCTAAGTAAATTATCTGGAAAGCATACACAATATAGCCTTCATTTTTGTAACATTGTTACTTTGAATCACTTGAATTTGACTGTTGTCTATGGGAAACAGAAGTCCATTATCACTCGCTTAAATAATCATCCTTGTTAAGGTTTTTCAAACATTCAGTGGTCAGCACATTTTCAAACATGACGTTTCTCATCAAGACACAAGAGGTATAACGCTGCATTAACAAAAATGTGGTTTACAATTCCTTACCTGTGATGCCTGTACTATAATAGGTACACCCAGGACTCTCTGTCCAGTCAGTCCTATTGCCAAGGGCACTGAACTAACATCAACAAATTCAACATAAGCAATTCCCTTTGAACGTCTGGAATTTCTGTCTGAAATCATCCGCACATCACGAACCTGAAAGGCAAGAACACAGACAGAAATACTTTTAGAGAAAAAGGAAAAAACCTAATCAGCTTATTTCTCAGACACATATTAATACGGACAATTATTTGCCAAGCCAACAGCTTTAACTCCACAGCGCATACACCCTTTTTAAACAAACATATCCCAGAGGCAAGCTAGCATTGAAACTGCTGTTGTGCTTTTGTATGTGACAGAGCTTGCAGCACTCTAATGCCTTACACAAGAAACTTATAGCTGATAGAACAAGTGAAGCTTTTCCAACTTAGAAGTTACATAAACTTTCAAATTACACTGACAGACCTAGCTGAAAAAAAATATGAAAAATGAAGTTGTTTGAGTCAGAATTCCATCAGCATGTTTTGCCTCACATCACATTAATAATGAACTACTGAGAAACTGTATTTTCGTGTTCAAAGCTTTTAATAATTAGTTCATTGCTAATCTCCCTTTGCACAGGTATAGGACATTCCAAAAAGCCACATGCTTGCAATTCTGAAAAATCATCTAATTTGTACTTAAGCTGTACTAGGACAGCTTGAGGCAGAATTCAGAATGATTTTAACTTCCCTATCAATTACCTTCCCTACGGTAGAGAAAAACTCTTCTAGGTCTCTTGGTCGAATTCTTGCAGCCAACTGCATGCAGAACACTGTTCGAGCATCCCTCTCCTCAGGGGTAAGATTATCAATAGGTTCTCTGGAAAGAGTAAAGCTCAGTTAAAAAAAATCAACTGAATTAAGAGAACTCATCTCTAGACCACACATGAAACACTAAATAATCAGTACTTCACAGTCTAATGGGAAAAAAACATTCCTGGTGTATCAAAAAAAAGGCAGAGTTAAGAACTGTAGGGAGTACCAAGTATTAACATGGTAAGTTATAAAATGATTGAATATCCTATTTCAACTGTGAGTACCAAACATTACTGGAAAATTCTATTTTAAGTGCAGAAGCATAAACTAAACAGAGGTACTATTTTGCTACTGTCTAGAACTGGTACCAGATACGCTATGAAGCTTATATGTCCTTTTCATCAAAAAGATAGAAGGACAAGAACGTAAAGGCAAACAGGGTGAACTAGCACAGACTGGCTGTCCAAATTCTCAGACAAGTAGTGTGAGCTAGGCTTTGCCAACACAAACCTTGCATTTACCCAGTCACTTTGGAGTCACTACAGCCAACGCCTAAAACATGACTGATATCCATGTAAACAGAACTCCCAGTCCTCATTTCATAGTTTCATTTTGTTAACCCATAAAGTATGAACAGTGAACTACTTTGAACCTTGATACATTAAGAACTAGAATAATTTTATTTCAATACTGAACTATTAGCTGAAATTAGATGCTCCACTTCTAATGTATTAAAGCTTCAAATCTAAACAGATCTAACTTCTACTCAAGTACAAGTTATACAAGAAGTAGCATGGTGGATGGATTGAGCTTTCAGCCATGCAGTTTGTATTTTTATTAAAATAATCGCATAGATACTAATCACTGAGAAAACACAGTAAAAATTTAAACCGAATTATCTCAGTAAGAGCTTGTCAGTCATTGAAAAACAAAAAGATTAGTTAAATTTAACTGCATTAATGTAAGAGAATAATCTCATTAGCAGGTATCTAAATCCCATTCCCTTAAATGAGAAGCCTAAGAATGGATAAGCAGCTCCTAGATTGCAAAGGCCTATAGCTTCTCAACAAATGACATGAATAAATACTGGACAGGAAAAAAAAGCATTCGTACTTCCCCATTCCATACTCTAGATTACTAAGTGCACTCTAACAGAAAAGCAAATTTAAATCTCAATTAATGGGGAAAAGATTGAGAATACAGAAACACAAAAAACAAACAAATTGAGACTGGTTTTGCAAACTGACATTATTTCCAACCTTTTATGACATGGGGAGAAAGCAACATATTATCAATGCTCTTCTCTCACTGGCTTTCTCAATGAATTCCAGCATCTCTTATGAACATAAACTGGAGAGCAAGTAGTCATACATTATTCCACCATCACTCTTCCAGCTCCAACTGTACAAAACCAAACAAACTCAAACATATATATATATACATATATATAGTCATACCTAACAGGGCTTTTGTCTTTTCTGAAAGGACTTTTGCTTCTGGAGCGACGTCTGCTAAAAAGAAAGATCAACAAGATTAGAAGAAAACCTTCCAATATACCACCCCTGGTTCTAAACAAAACCTATTAATGATGCAATGAAAAACAGAAAAGTCAAAAACCTTAATTTGATGCTGTGAGGCAGACCAATCTTCCCTCTGATGGCACTGTTGAATTTTGGACCAGAACTATGGCAGAAGAAAAGACAAGACACCTGAGTACTTGAATTCAAGATAGTCTGTCTGTACTCACACTACACTGCAAGTGCTCACCCACCCTTGCCTCTGAACTTGTCAGCATTTCCATTAGCAGCACCCACAGCATGCACAAGATTATCAATTGGTTATCAATACAGGCAGCACTTCAGATCATAAAGCAGAGAGCATAAGATCCCCTCTCACTTTCACCTATATCACAAAAGTCCAGAATATGCAGGATTCTTTATGAGCCATTCAGCCATGGCACATTTGTATGTGCAAACTATTCTGAGCTACAACTACTGTTATAACCATTTTCACCTGTTTTTTTTGTCCACATGCAAGTTCTACATACTGATGACTGCAAAGCATAGCATTCATGGCCTGAAACTCAGCCTGAGAGCTGTATGCCAAGTGGCACTGGAAGGATTACTTGCTTGAGTATAACATTTTAAAATCAAAAGTTCCATGAAATTTAAGGGGCAAGAGCAAACCAAAGTAGCTCCATGCAGACACCTGCAAGGGATTCACTAATGTTGCCTCGGCTCTCACCACCAAAGTGCTGCAAACATGTAAATGAAGCTTCCTTAAAATTCCTAATGGCCATCAAACCACAGAAGCAGTGAACACAGCTGTCAGCTGTAAACAGACATGTAACCACAAAAGGAATCCAATCTCTTGACTGAATCTAATTTAATTCTCCAGGCATCATAAGAGTCTGTTCAAACAAACTAATCTGCCCTTTGTTTCCATGTTAAGGACAGTCCTCTTGCTAGTTAGTTCATGGGGCACCCAGGAACAGACTCTGACATGAGCAGTAAGATTCATCCTGCGTGCTCTCCCTGACTTTGATGTCCTGGTAGAGAGTTGTTCAAAAGGCAAAGAACAACACCTGGTCACATTCTTCCTGTATCTCCACCAAACGCAGAGGCACTGCTGCACAGACTGAATGCTGTGCACTGGGCTTTGGCTTTCCATCTGTACACAATTGATTCTTTCTGCTGTGGCTACAAATTGATGTGAAACACCCTGAAAGACACGGCAGGCTGAAGACATTAAGTAGTCTTTCACTAAATCCATTTAGCCACGCAATTTGTCTGAAAAACGTCTTCTTGCTCCTCAGTGGAGCAGTAATGCTTATAGTTAAACTCAGCATCCACCGTAAGGAGGAGGATGCCCATTTTTTAAACATGTCATGACACAGGTGGAAGTAGTGGGCCAAGATCCAAAACCGTGCTGGCCAGGTTAAAGCAAGGAAAATATGGCCCTGTACAACACTGGAAAAAAAAATAAAGAAAAAAGACCATTTAGAAACTAGTTATTAAGAGAAGGTAACTACTTATTAAGAGAAAATAAGACACAGAACACAGACACATGTCAAGATGAGCTCAGTATTGGTCAAAACCAGACTTTTTTTTGCCTAGGATAAATTAGTCCATTTCCTGCTCAAGTCCAGACAAATTATTGCTAGGAATGGCCTTTCAGGGTCTTCAGTATCTATGGGACAACTGCCAAAAACTGCATCTGGAAATGCTGATACTCATATCAGAGGCTACCTTCTTATCAGACGTGGGATTACCTTGCACCTTCACATCTGAAACATGGTGCTCTTCATTTAAATTCAAATGCAGCCAGACAAACCAAGTACAGTGATTCCAGAATACTAACATGCAGACCAACTAAACAATAATAAATAATTAAGATCATAAGTTTTGGAAGAAATGGTGAAAGAAATATTTTAAGTATTTGTCTAAACCTAATGAATAACAAAACCAAAACACAAACAACTGAGAAGTAACAGTTTTCAAATACATGCATAAAGTGGGGTGGGGGGGAAGGAAAAAGGAAAAAAGGGTAAGGAAAATCCACAACCCCCCACAACCCCAAAAATCTTCATTTTCACTCCTGACTAGTACTGTCTTATTTACAGAACTCCATGGGAGCAACATTAGGAAACCCCAGACCACTGGAACAGACCAAGCAGAAAGCTGCCTAAGGCCAAGTGAGAGTCCAAGTTACCTTCTCAAAATGTCTTTTCAACAGAATTCTCCCTGTGTTTTTTCTAAGCAGACTTGCTTGTAAAGCTGTAGATCTCAAGTAAAGTTTCTTCTTTGCTTCTACTGTCTCTACAATTGTTGCCCAGTTCCTGCTAACCTGTACAGAAGCACCACGTCACAAGCCATTAATCTGTACGTCTAGGAGTCACCTTTGTAAGCCAAAATCCTGTGCGCAGCCACATCACACACTTCCACAAAACCTATGTGATGCCACATAGGCCCAACAATGGTAAGGTCAGAAGACAGCCAGCAAATTATCAGCTTTTACCTGCTCATTCATATTCAATACTCTGACAAAACAATGCCAACCAAGGCAAACCAAGTCCAGGAAAATCAGAAGGAGCTTTCAGTCATCAGTGTAATAAACACGTTTTCCTAAAGGCTTTGTCTAAATTCTTGGTTTCAGAATAGAAACAGGATGATCTAAGTGACTTGTACTGTATGTTAGCAGCAGCTGGGATTTGCCTGACAGATGTCTAAGCAGGACTAGTCAGTCAAGTTCTTCCTCCTAAGAGACCTAATGATACACTATAACACTTAAGGGACAGCATATGAGAAAATAACATGAGAAAAAAAAATCCCTGTGAACACTAAGCAATGCAAGCCAATCACCTAATTTTAATCTAATTTTAAAAAATTAAAGTATTTAACCACAATTACAAGCCTACAGTGATAAACTTGAAGTTTTCAGGTTCTCAGTAACACTCACTCTTCCTGTTCCTTCAAAACTACCTATACTAAACATTTTTCTCACTACTGCTGAGATGCCTCATAATTGCTCCGAGCATCAAAACCATCTCAGCTTGAAAATGTGCCTTTATAAAGCTCATGAGGAAGACCACTAGTTAAAAAATAAAAAAAATAAAAAAAAATAGGAGCTATAAAGCAATTTGATCTGGATGCTGCAGTCAGCTACAACCTGTCAGCAGTAACTCCAACCTAGAACCACTGGAATAGCCCCACAAGGAGAGATTCCAGAAGTAAATTCTCCAGCCAGAAAGAATACTCTGGCAGTCACTTTTGAAACACTGAGCTTATAGCACTGATACAGAGGTGACTTCTTCAAATAAAAGCTCAGTATTGGTAAACCCAAAGGCGGCTGGTGGTGTGGGAAGTTTTATCTCCAAAATTTTTGTCCCTCTGAAATTCAGCACCTATTGTAGAGATTTAAAGGTGGGTCTCTGCATTTTAAGAGCCAGGAACAAGAACTCTTCACAATTGCATCTTCTGAGGTCCTCTTTCACAAATTTAGAGCTCAAAACTACAATTCTGGAATCACATTAGCATGTTTATAATTTTAACAGGACTATTCATCATCTACAACTGAATTACAGCAACTGCTTGCTGACTGCCAGCAGTCAACACCAAAGCTTCTGGGACACATGTGCCTGCCCCTACACTAGTCTTCCACAAAACATCTAAACACACTACAATTCTGCTTGGTTAAATGAAAGCAAGGATTTGGCAACTGAAGCAGCGAACAAGCTATGAAATGAATAAGCACAACTGTGTATCCTCAGAGCATACTACATTATCCCTGCTTCTTGTAACACCGAGGAATCCCCAAAACAGCTGTGGGAGAGTGTCAGGAGAGCAAAGACCCCTTGCAACTACTTACCTTTCTGGCATAACATAGTGCATTAGAACAGGCGTGGGTTATTGTAGTAATATCAATACTCTCAACCTCTACTTGCAGAAATTATTTTGGAAGACCAGAACACTGGAACTCCCTAAATTTCTCCAGGTGAAAGACCTTCTCACCCAGTGACAGGAATAAAACCTCCAACACAGCACAAAGAATGCAGCAACTCCCAACTACAAGATGAGACAAAGGATATCCTTTCCACATAACACTGCACTGGAGGGAAGGAGACCAGCAGGCTCCATATACAGAAGGCTGAAGCTTTTGATCAAGGGCCTCTGTACCTTGAGCCACAACAGTGGCACTGGCACAACCCAACTAGCTACAGTAATCTTACAGGTGCCAAAGAGTTGTAGGAAAACAACTCTGCACTGCTGTAAACTTTACAACGAAAGCCTAGAGCAAGCAGTGTACAGAGGCTCTGATACTCAAGACAAAGGAAAAGCAGGGCTGATATTTTATGATCCCCACACACACGGGACTGATGATACACAGCATGCCACCGCACCTTAGAGGACTCGGAAACTGCAGTAGGCTTTCATTACGAAAATGTGAACATTCGGGTGACTTAGCAGAGATTCTGAGACCTCAGAAAGTTTTGTTTGTAGTCCAAGAGTACAAAAAGCCCCAAGAAAAACATTCATGTGCATAAAATTGCACAAGCCTACAATTTACCAGAAGGTAAACACTGTCTGCTCAAACATCTTGAGAGATTTCTCTATCATGGATGGCATTACATGTCATGATTAAAAAAATCCTTTTCAAATGCCTTCATTTTACATGATCTTGCACTCCAAGATTTGACAACAGTTGAGATAAGACCCCGACAACAGCAAAGAGCAGCCTCAGGTAATCAATGACAGTCAAGCATACAGCCCACTTCTCACTGTGTTTCTGCAGAAAGAGGCAATGGGAAGCAAAGGGAAGAGCAGCAGTACAAGCCATCAGAAATTATACTGATGAAAAAACATTTTTTGAGAATTGATTTACAAGTGCCTGGAACTACCTATTGCTGAAGTTCTAGCAAACTAAATATCTGAGAGGAACAAAAGAATTCTTGTCAGCCTCTAAATAAGTCCGAGAAAAAAGCAGGGCAAACATGTAACACATAGGCATTGCTAAGACAAGATGCTCCCAGTTTAGATGCATAAACATGGAATATGTTTGTGTGAACTCCCATTTATGGAGTTAATGCTCAAGAACAGCAAGACAGTAAAAATCTTCAGTGATAAAAAAAAAAAAAGGGGGGGGAGGTATGAGCCTGTAACCAAATTAGCAGACTACTATTAATTTTTTGACAGTTAAGCCATCAAGTTCATATACTTAAGATCGTTAGGACATGGAGAGAATTTGGTTGTTATACTGATTCTGTGATAAACTTTGTTTTCCACTCAGCTGTACACCTTCCTTCATTTGTTTTCCCATCTCCACGTTTGGCTAAGAATGAAAACTAGAAGAGGAAAGTTACTGTCCCCTCTTTTTCATTCTTTTTTAATTGACATTCTTCAAACTTAACCTCTCAGCTTCTTCTCTATGATAATTATTGACCAATTTAGAAAGCAGAGAGTGAAACTTTAACCTTCCACATTATAACACTGAAGCAGCCCACATGCAACTCTGAAGAAATAACCTACTAGGGACTTCTATAGCGGCCTCTGAATCTGCGATCTCTACTCCTGGACCGGCTGCGTCTGCGTTCTTTGCTTCTGCTCCGTTTCCTTTCCCGGCTTCTGCTCTTTTTCCGTTCCCGATCTCGGCTCCGTTTGCGTTCCTTACTTCTGCTCCTCTTTCTGTCATGGCTTCGACTTCGGCTCTTGCTCTTTTTTCTCCTGACAAAGAAAAGCGTACCTTCAGTTACACACATAGGTCGGTGTTATTCACCCCACATTCCAAGTTCCACATGAAGTACTTCAACTGCTATGTACTAGTTCTAACACAGAAAAGAGGTTTTTAGTCCTTTTGCTCTTCTGATAGCATTCTCTAGCAATTAAAAATTTTTAAACAAATATATGCAGTTGGAGACTTCATGTGGCACTCAAATATACTTTAAACACTGCATCATGACTCTAAGAATAAATTATATAGTAAAATAAAACAAAACAACAAAAATAGAAAGGAAGAGGCAAGTCTAAGGGAAAGGAAGGTTGTTTCCTCTTAATACTCCCTGCCAAACGTCTTTAACATGCTGTTTAAGAGTTTTGCTTCCTACTTGTTACTCCTACTCATAAACCACTTGCTTCTTTTTCAAGTCTATGGCTGTTAAACATTTGGGGCAAACTGCAGATTTTAGTAACTTTACCAGTTTACTTAGAAAACTGAATCTTCTAAAACCTGCATGTCAATTATACCTCATATTTGAAACACAGCGAGCAACTGTTGTGTTATTTCATTTGGATTGTTCACAACCTTCTTCCTCCATCTCAGCCCTCAGACCACCAAAGTTCACCATCTCCTAGCTTCTAAAATATATCTGTATGTATACACAAGACACTTGTTAAACAGATGCTCAAGCCATTACTTCAGACAGCCAAATAATAAACTTTGCTGCTAAACTTTTGAAGTTGGAAATATCCTTTGTCATTGATTTTTTCCTCTTCCTCCTTCTGGGCCTTCTGATTGCATATATCATCCTTTTTCAACGTGGTCACTCACACTCTTAAAAACTCTTTTAAAAGGGCATCTGAATTACAAAAAGCTCGTCCCTTTGGAGTTTCTATGGCCATGTATAAACTAAGACTTCTTGTCAGTTTCATTTTCTGAAGTAAAAAAATCTCTCACCTGCGACATCTGAGCCTAAGTACTAATAGCTTTTGCTCTCCAATCACCACCTAGGAAGGCCCATTCAAACTATCTTAGTATTTATCTCTAAAGAAAAACATTTTGCAATTACGTTTTAAACACCAGAATATTTCCTTTTTTTTTCTTATCTGCCATAGTCCATTAGTTTCTTTAATATTTTCGTATGGACAGAGAGGCTGCTGCATCAAAACCTGATATTCAGAAGCTTCACAATTCTGATAGTTCTCTATTTCTGGGTGGTGTCATCAGCATCACTTAACCACACTTCCTGATGTAAGGCAGTATGTGATGGCTAGGTACACACTGTCCCTTCTCCTCTAGGATCCTTAATTTACCAACGTTTCCCCAAGATAAAACCCGAAAACACTCACTACTAAAATAGCTCTGAAAAACACTCCCTGGACCTCACTATACTGGCCAGTACCAGTAACTAATAAATGCAGCCACTCTTCACCAATGACAGCAGCTATTCCCTATCCAACAGAGAAAACCTGCTTTACAGGCACAGACTCCCAGCAGTCCAGATCCATGGACTTCCATCTAGCCTTCAAATCACGACTGAGCTGCACCCTACAGTACAGACATCTAATAAAAATGCAGACCCTTAATTCGTCCAATCAATAAAATAGACATTTAAGTATGATTTGACAATTACTGAAAGCTCCACATTGGTTTTTTTTAAGTTGCTGATGTTTGCTGTGGTTTTTCCTGAGTTTAAATCTTCCTTCAGTATTTGCCCAACTGAAGTAGACGAATATCATTTGCACACAACTGGATTGTTTTAAAGCAAAGCAGGAAGATTGCAAACCCTACATACACCTTTGTCTTCAGCAACAGAGTACACTGTCACACATCACAAACAGAATAGTTCTTTAAAGATTATGGGGAACAAGAACTGTACCAAAATGTATTTCTAGGGCTTAAAATATTGATAGCAGCTGCTTTTGATGGGGTTTTAGAGGTCTAAGTATTTAGCGTGAAAATTATTTTCACAGTATGATTTAGAACACAAGTAAAAGGTATAATCAATTTTAAATAATTTGATTCCAGCCTCAGTCTGACCTTGAAAAGGGATTTATCATTTCCCAAATATTTATAGACCTGAGAAGAAACTTCCTTTGGAGTCCTTCAGCATGTCATCTGTATGATTTCAGAAGGTGATGACAGCATACATGCTTACTTCAGTGCATTCATACACATAGCTAACTTGTTAGTGTCGAGTCAAACTAGCAATTTCGTAATTGCTCTTTTTACATCAATTACCTCTTGGCCAAATGATGCTTGTATGGTAAGAAATTTATTTTACAGACTTAAAAACCTCTTGGATATCAGCACGTGTTTCCACCCTGGAATTATGCTTGCTGAACAGGTGGACTTAAGAGTTTTTTTAAAAACTGGTATTACAAATGTTTAAGTTTTCAAAGGGTAGAGATGCAGAGAATAGAACAAAGCGATTCAACATCATAAATCGTTTCAAGAAAGCACTGATGTCTTCAACCGCTTTCAACTGCTCCAAAACACAATTCTACCAAAGAAAATTTAAAATACAAAATCCACTGCACAGCTAAAGTAACAAAATTTTAAATATGCTGAACATACCAAATCTGTATTTTTGTCTGATGCTACATGAATGTTTCCACAATTTTGATTACATCAGTTGCAAAGGGTATTAATTACATTTGTAAACAGAAGAAAATTTCCAAATTGCTGCAACTGCAAACATTAAGCTTTTTCAAATTATCTCCTTAAATACTACTGACATGGATTCACAAGTCCACGAAAATCAGCAGCCTCTACCCAAATGTAGAGAGCTGAGAAAACACTTACTTCTTGCTGCGTTCTTCATGGCCATTGGCACTGCTCAATTTGTTCTCATCCTAAGCAGGGTTGATAGAAGAACATCGTGAGGACGAAGCGGAAATATTTCAAGTAGTCAAAGGGTAATGGGAATAGGAATAAGAAAATAAAAAACAAAAATTTTAATACTAAATTACTTGTTTACAGTTTAATGTGGAAAGCTTTAGAAAATTTAGGTAGGCATGTTTAACCACTTTGCTGCTTAAATTTAAGTCATACAATTACAAAATACAAGACTTACATCATTTAAAAGTGTGTATTAAATTGTAGATACTTCCTTACATGGTTTAGAGAGCAAGTTATCCTGTAGAATTCAGCACTCAAGTGGCTAAATGTTATTTCTATAAAATTTAAGAGGAAGTCTGAGGTGTTTGCGAGCCCCTCTGATTAGTACCAAGGCTATATCTCTGCCTAAGCCCCGTGGCTACACTAGCAGCCAGCCACTATGGATTTCCTGTGACCGATGCCATTCCCGAGATCTTCACTCATTTTCGATGAAGGGTTGTAAGAGCTTGATGTCACCTCTGTCACACATCTCGCCCTGAAGCAAACAGGGATTCACACTGCTTTAGTAACGTCGACTCCCAAGAAAGCCATCAATAATCCACCAGTCCAGCCTAAACATTCCCTATTTCCATACCTGTTTACATGGAAAATATCCATGTTAAGCCAGGACACAAGAATTTTAAAACAACAGTTCACAAATTTCTCTTCAAGATGTAAACATAACTGCTAGATATTACATAAACTAAACATACCACTTAAAACTTACAAATGCTCATCCAAAATTCATGACACGGTTGTAATAAACACTGTGGAACAGACTAACAATACCTGCTATATAACTTAAATACTGGCTTTACAGTTTAATCACATTGGTTACATCAAAAGTACAATTCCTAGGCGACTTAAACTTATACACATTTCTTTCAAAATCAGTGCTAAAGCATGCAGTCTGTTAACACTTCACCACCATCTGGTGGAAAACAAAAAAAGACAGTAGTCATTTGCTGCTGGTTTAACTCAAAGACATCACTAAACTAATTGATAAAAAATTCACAGAAAAAATGACATTTCCTAATTAAACAACTAGGACAGAAGAATAAAAGAGCTTATTTTAGAATGACACCGCAGACTGTGATACTGTCTTTTACTTGCTAAGAACATTCTATTCAGGGATCCAAGAATTTCTGTAAATTCCTTCACTCAGCAATTGATTTTCATCTGCCCTGTTGAAAGATTAACCGCCAGCAGCCTTCTGCATTAAAAGCAAGTCCCATTCTTCTTGCACTGAGCAGACAGTTCAAATATTTACTTGCCATGGGACTAGTGAAAAGGTTATTCTTGGAACCCTGCTGTTTTCCCAAACCACTGCATTCACCTTGTTGCTATACCAAACTAGACTTCACAATTTTAGAGGAAAGGTTTTAGGATTTTGGTTTCTGGGGTTTGTTTTGGTTTTTGTTTTGGCTTTGTTTAGTTGGTTTTTGGGTGGAATGCTTTTGTTTTGATTGTGTTTGGTGGTTTTGTTTTTAACCTAGGGGACCACGGTACAGCGATACGTCACTCAATTACTACCTTATGATTGACAGTTCACACTGGAATCAAAGGTGAATTCATGGGAGTAGAGGTGAGATATCGTTAGGCAAGTCTACAAAGAGAGATAGATGGGCATTTATTCATCACGCTGAAGTGAAACTACTGCACAATATAATTACATTAACAGTATATATTAACTTGAAAGTTACATGTAATGTATGTCCAATAAGATAAATCATGAGGGCTCCAGGGATGTTAGTTTACAGTTCAGCAGTAGTTTCATGAATAATGCTAAATTAAGGAAAACAGGACCTCACTGGCATATTCTTTCTCACCTTCTTGTAAGGAGCTTCAAGCATTGCTTCAATATCAATATCATCAGCCATTTTTCAGGACACCTGAAAGAAGAAAATTCCACCTGAGTTGGAAAACACCCTTGCACTTTATATCCAAAAGCTTTTGCTTAAGAGGTCATCACTGCATTGGCTCAAATTCACGAAACCATGCTTTGGTAGGTACTTCCAACAAAAACTGGAATGAAGTTTTAACCAGCGAGATGATAACGAATGTGTGCCAAGTAATTACAGCTGCAAACAACAGAACATGATTAAACACCATCAGCCAGAAGAAACCCCAGAGGTATTCCATCAATTTCTTTCAAAACAAAGAGCATGGCGTATTTATGACAGAAACACAGCTCTGGTGGCCATCTTGAGTAGTGCTAGAGCTTCACCAAAGGACAATGAACAATCAGGCAAACCTGTTAACAGCTCCTAGCCTTTACCACCATCATTTACCCATCTCAGCACGTGGACACCATGGTGCTTCACGAAATGTAGCCTCCTGCATAACAGGGGTCACAGAAACAGTTTTGATTCCCGCACTGAGAGCTACTAATGCATACACAAAGTCCATCCAGTCCAGAACTTCAGGTCTCAAAACAAAAAGATCCACCACACCAGGTAACACTTGACACCACAGACATTTTAATTTTAGGTTCAGCTGCTGCTCTTATTTCTCGATTTCAATCCCTTAATATAATTTTATGTTCACTATACTCTGAATCACTTTGACACTCCTCTCCCTATCCAGATATGCTATTAAACACCTCTCAAGAGTCTTGGCATTAAACTTAAGATACTCAATTTACTCAAATCTCTTAGTGAAGTTTCTCTTTTTCATTCTTAAGCTCAAGAATGGCCAGTCCTCTAGAGCCAAGTCTGACAACCCAACACTGAATTGTGTGTACACAATAAAATGGACTTTAATTATACAGGTAGTTCTTGCACCTTGTCTAAAGGCACTGCTGCAGAACTGTGCTGTCTCAAGACTTGAGCAGAATAATGAAAATGCTCCAACACATCAAGATCCTTTACACTGGTCACTTAAAATGTCATAATTGAGAATGCTTTACCAGAGCTGTAGCACATCTAACCTTGGCCTAGGGATACATTCTGGAATAAAACCCTCAAGCAGGATCACAATACTGGAAGTTCACACTTAATTACTTAACTGAGGCACACTAATCTCATTTTCAAATTATTACCTTCTGGGCTATAGTGCTATCTCTTACAGATCTGATCATCCTTGATTTAAGTGTAATGGCTCAATTTTACTTTTTACTACAGTATTTATATTCAGCTTTTCAAGCCATCTACATACATGCACGTGATTAAACTCACAGCTGTTCTACCAGTACATAGTATAAATAGTACATCACTACAATTAAAGGCCATGAAAAAGGCAAACCCAGAATTCTACAAAAAAATTTCCACCGGTGACAACTCCCACTCAAATTTACATTTACAGATGTGTCATTTAGCTGGCATATCCAGCTACATTTGTGGAGCAATTCTTCCTGAAGAGAAGTGGTCAGGATAGGGACCATCAAATCCTGAAGGGCATGGTAAAGTGCAGAGGGATTGACTATTACTGCGTTCACCCAAATAAGTGAATGAACTATCAGCCAGTGGATTCAGAACAATGGTCCTTATTCACAAAACATATAGCCACTAAATTCACTGTTGAAGGGCACTGTGGATCTTAAAGAAAAAGAAGCACATGCATTGTTAAAAAACAAAAAGTTTAAAGAAAAAGGTTTTCATTAAACAAAGGCATGCCGCGTGACCCTGAAGCACACAGAGAGAACTGTCAATGTGTCACTGTGCTGTTCATTCTTTTCTGGGCATTTACTGCTGGCCACCATCACTGACAATCTCCTGAGCTTCATGGACCTTTGGCCTCACCCCAGCAATCTGTACCCTTTGTACTCTTTACAAAACATTTCCACTGGGACAATACCATGTTATCAGAATACCTTCTCTCTATGTGTAAAACAGTCCTGTTATCAGCCTGCAGTGCATAGATGTAATGCAATAATGATGCTACATATAACGTTGAAACGTTGGAAGTATTCTTTTTAAAAACCACAAATGAAAGCCTAGTAATTTCAAATTACTAGGAAGTCCTGACAGATTTTCAAGTACCTTTCACTAAACGCCGACGTTCCAAATAATTTTCCTAAAAGCCTTTCAGCTTTCTCAAAAAAGCTACGTGTGACTAACTTATTTGTACAGAGAAAAAAAAAATAAATAAAACCACCCAAACAAGCAAGCAAAAAACACCAAAAAAAACCCCATCCCAAACCATCAAAACAAAAGTGGAATGAACCACACTTGAAACTTTGTGGATCTACAGAAAACGTAAGAGGACAGGAAATGTACTGCAACTGAGCTAGTCACTATTCTGAAAGAAAACACTCTCTTTGTGCTCTACCACATAAAAGGAATTTTTAAGACTCTCGTTTTCAACATTATTTTTTTTAGAAATCCAATTAATTCGATACGTTTTGCATGTACTGTCCTAGAAAAGCATCAGGAAACTTTACAGAGGACTCTGACGCCTCAGAGGGAAAACTCGCCTCTCAGCAGGCTCCATACAACTACCGCCAGGTCCCCAGCCAGAATTCCCCCACGTCCTGACACGATCGAGCGGAGCGAATTCGGTTTCCCAGGAACAGTGATGCCCAGCGCTGCCTGCCCCGCCGTGGCTGCCCTCCCACCTCGCTCCTTCCAAAGGCCTTCACTCCCCACCCGCCCGCGGTGACCGGCGCTCCCCCAAGTCGGTCCGCCCCGTCTCCCAGCGCTAACAGCCCCGCAGCCGCTCCCGCCCGGTCCTTCCGCACAGCGCCATCAAGGGAAGAGGACGGGGGGGGCAAGACCGGGGGGAGCCGGGGCGGGGCAGCGCCATGCCGGGGGCAGCGCCATGCTGGGGGCAGCCGGGTCTGCCCGCGACGTGGCCACAGGAACAACCGAACCGCACAGGGCCGCACCGCGGGGCGGGGATCGTCGGGCGCTCTGGCCTCAGTAAAGCGCAGAACGGCCTCACGGGAAGGGCCGAGGCGGCCATGGCGACGGGAGGGGCGCAGCACCCCGCGGACCAGGCTGCCACTCGCTGAGCGGCGGGGCCCATGGCCCACCCGCAGTTACCTGCGCCGCGGGCAGTGCGATCCTCGCTAGGGCCCCGAGGTCCGGCAGCGGCGGCTCCGGCGTCACTGCGCTGGCGGTGGGGAATGGGCCCGAAGGCTCAAGCACCTTCTCCAGGTGTCTGAATCTTAAATGAACGGCGGCGCTCAGGCAGCCCTGGGGAGCGGGCGGCGAGGGGCAGCGCGGCCGTGAGTTGATCTCGGTGCCGGTCCGGCCCCCTCTATGGCTCCGCGGCTGCTCCCGAAATGGCGCCCGGCCGCTCGCGGCTCCGCGTACGGCACGGGGGTACCCAGCGCACCGCCCAGGGGCTCTCGCGAGACGCACAGCCAAACAAGCCGCTGCACGCCAGGTTCTCCGCCTCTCGCGAGATATCGCGCCCGGAAGCAGCGGTTCAAATGCTCGCGAGAGTTGGATAGACAGGTGGCCTTGTCACGCGCCTTTGAGCTCTCGCGAGGGCTTGGCTCCCCCGCCTAATGCCCGGCGGGAGGGGCCGAGTCCCGGGAGGGGGCGAACCTGAGGCCGCTGGGGTGGGGCTGCTGCTGCGGCGCAGGGTCTGCGGGCTTGAGGGACTCCGATGCGTTCGCAGCACCTCTTTTTTCCCTGGCTCTGGAAGATTCTTGTCATAGGCACTTGCTTTCCAGCAAACTAAAGTGGATTAGGTTATGGAGTGGACAGGACTGTGAAATTACTGTGTTCCTTTATCAGAGATTGTGCTGATGTGACAATTTAATAAGGTCTGTGGTTTGATCTTCCGTTTGGCTGAGGGCTTGATGTGGTTCAGTCGGATTAACAATGTCTGAAGGTGTTCAGCCATATACTTCTGCCAGAAATTACACCTCCCTTCATGGTCTAGCAGTGTTTTGCAGAATTTTTAGCCACTTCAGTACCAAGTCAGACAATCTGTCAGTGACCTGCCCTTCTGGTGCAGCTTTTGGCCCAAGCCATTGCAGGTTGCTGGAGCCTTGAATCTGAAAGTTTAGCTCAGAAGGGAAATAGTGTTTTGTGGAAAAGGCCCCTCTTGTCTCATTAACAGTGCTTTGTTTCCCTCATAGCTCACAGAATGGCTCATTTGTATTTAAATTTAATAATATGTAGTAAGTTTAGGGCAATTGTTCAAGGTAGGACAGATAACATTAAGTGGATTTTCTGGTGGAATCAGCATGAAATAAATTGTTGCTGGAGAATTTTAGGGTTTTGTTGTTGTTGTTGTACTACAAATCTGAAACAATATAGAGAAATTCTAAACAAACTTTGCCTCCTGAAATGATAATTTTTCTGAAAATCACAGGCTACTGTCTCATTTAATGTCATTTCTAACAAAGTTCCTGAAATGTTGATAGCAGGAAATAATCCTGGGGCCCTTGCCCAGAGTGTCCAAGTCTTTCTAAGATAAAGTGGTCAACTAGTAGAGTTTGGAACATTTAGGAAAAATTACCTGTTTAAAATTAAAAACAAAGCCTGTGTAAAATAGGGTTATTTCCAACCTAATAATCTCTGTACAGTTTGGTTGTAAATAAAATTACTAGTCTTCTCACAGGCAAAACAAGGTTTATTGTATTTGTTCCCATGCACTGCTCTGGCTGCCTGCCCCTTACCCCTCAGCTTCCAGTCAGCCACCAGGTCTGATCTAACACCTCCGTGTTCCTTGTTCCCCCACACCTTGTGGTTGTGACTGAAATATATGCATAGGCTAGTGTTGGTGGATTTATCTAAGGCGTTTCTCTGTGATCATTTGCCTGTGGAGCCAGGCTCTGGAAGTAGTACACAGACATGGGTTTTTTGTCTACTCCACTTGACTGCTGCTCAGGCAGTGTGGGAGAAAGGATGCACCCCGACACTTAGAGTACTCACAGAAAGGGCGAGGGTGGCTAATGAGGGGTCTGGAGTAGCAAATAGCTGCACGAGCTGCGTGTCCAACGCTGCTGTCAGCCTCGGCGTATGGCAGCAATACCCTGGCCTGTCGGTTGTCGACGTTCAGCTCCGCAGGGCTGCTGGTGTGGTCACTACGCACTCTGCTGGATTCACCTTTGGAGCTGAGGTGAAGCTCTCAGTAACATACTTCCTAAAAAAAAATTTTCTTGTTTGTGGGATGGCTTGATCTAGAGGAGAGACTGGCCCTGAAGTACTGGGGCATAATGCAAACTGATGTTCCTTCCTCTACATCTGGCTGTGTACGTGTGCCAGGGCGTTCGCATAAGGCACCAGGGTTGACGGTGGGAGTTTTCTTGTGTTACCCGCGCTGCGAGGGGTAGGACGGATGGCGCAGAATTAACAACTAAAAGGTAAGTACGCAAACAAAACAAAAAGTGTATGCTTTCCCACACCGGGAGTCGAACCCGGGCCGCCTGGGTGAAAACCAGGAATCCTAACCGCTAGACCATGTGGGATTGCATAGTAAATGGCTCGGCCTGCAGCAACTGCTTCCTGCTTTGTTTCGTTTCCGCACCATTTCCTGCCTGCCTTGCCTGCTGCGCTGCCTATCTGCATTGACCACTGCTCCTCGCCCCTTGCCCGCTTCTCGTTCCCCCTGCCCCCGCCCAATGCTCATTGCCCTCTGTCCGCTGCCCACCGCCTACCGCTCGTTTCCCCTGCTCGCTGCCCACCGCTCCTTGCCCCCTGCCCACCGCTCCTTGCCCCCTGCCCACCGTTCACTGCTCGCTGACCTTTTCCCGCACCAGGGTCAGAGTGGGGTGAGGCGTGCAGGGCCGCCCCCTCACTTAGTTAAAATATGAGGTTGGAGGTTGACAAAACCGGAGAAGTAGGAATTGACTAATGGGAAGATGAACAAATGAAGTCCGGCCAAAAAGGCACAGAAACTTGGTAACAGCCACCAACGTGCTCCGAAACAAATTTGAGCAATCACAAAAGCAGGCAGAACAACTGCACTATCCAGTTTTGACTGAGAACAACCGTATCAGACACTGGTACAAGGCAGGTAACAGGTGGCACACTGCAGTAGCTGGCCGCAGAGGTACAAGAAGAACCGACTACTGAGCATGTGGAGGGGTAATGCTGGATGTTGAAGAAACTTCAGAATCAATGTGCCTGAACCTTTTTAATCTTCCAAGATGTAATACTGAACCCCTGTGTGTGGAAAATTCACACTTAAATAGGCAAAGGAGAGAATTAGAACTATTGTAATGGAGTGTAAAACCGGTGGTGGTGACAGTGGTGTGTTTAGGAGGTCAGAGTGGCTACCAAGGCAGAAAACATCGTTATGAAATGTCTCCAATTACCCCCATATCAAGTGGGTAAATGTCACATCAGCGTATCATGTAGTTGCTACATTAAGATACCACAAAGACTTGATTTTTGGAGCAGCTGGTTGGAGAACATAAAAGAAGCAACAGGGTTTAATGCTGAGTTGCGGGAGGGGCTATTAGAACAGTCCTGCATAACAGCGAGTACAATGCATTCAATCTGGTGGCACTGAAAGAATATCAACAAAGAAATTCCTCCCTCAAGAGGTTATTAAAAAATTAATAAACCAAAAGGATAACATGGTTGTAAGAAGCACAGAGATTCTAAAATTACCCAGAACAGTTTTATCACCACAAAGAAAAAGCTATGGCTACAAAGCATCATAAAAAAGGCTAAGGAAATATTGAATCAAAGATAAAATACCCTTCAAAATGTGAAGGTGGTGTAGACCACATCCATATGCCAGCAGATAAAATCCTGAATAGGTTATAAACTATCAAATTAATCTGACGAAAACTACACAAGGTAGATTTGAGCAAATTCTGTTTCCTCACACGGATCCCAGCTGCATGAAGTTGCTAAAGACACAGGCAAGGACTGGCTGACAGCCATAGGACCCAGGTTTTTTGGCACACAATGATCTTAGTCCATCTCTGACATGAGGGGGCAATTTGCTCCCCAAGGACTTGACACTGCTGGTGGAGAGATTTGCGTTTCTTCCATGTATCAACCTGCTTGTCCTCAGCTTCCCTTCTAGTTTTAGTACTGGATGAATATCTTTCTCCTTCCAGAAGGCCTGGTGGGATGTCAATGTGAGCAGCAGTGCCACCCCTCCACCCTTGCTTGCTTAGGAATTGCATGTGAGGGAAGAGCAAAGGTTTTCCTTTGTCAACCATCCCTGAAGATTGGGACCTGGGGGAGACAGAACTTTGGCTTCATTTCAACTGGCCATGCTCATGCTATTATCTCACCTGCCTGTGAAGCTGTTCTCAGGGCCCCAAGAGCACTAACTAGCCCTTAGGCTAGCCTCACTTAGGGCTTGCACCCCAGCCCTGCCCAGGAGCCTCAATTCAGGTCAGCCCCAGATGCTCAGTCCCCATCTGAGCTGTGCTGAGGCGTGCTTGTCTCCAGTGCTCTCACCAATGTGCCCATGGCTGTGCCCAGCCCTGAGTCTATCTGACCCTGACCTGCAGCCTGCCTGACCTAACCTCAGCTCTGCCTTGTTACTACAGATCTGTATGGGCTGGGTCTGTCCCTGGTCACCATCATTGGCTTCATGCTGATCCCAACCTGGAGACTGACTTTCCAGGTTGACCTCAGACCCACCTCCTGCCTATGAGCTGCCCATGAGACAGCCCCACCATGCTGGGGCTAACCATGGCCTCTTGCAGATGTGCTGTTCTGGGGGACTACCTACAGTTGCATGGGGTGGTCCCCTGAGACATGCTCTGGTGTAATCCCAAGTGTTTTCTCTCTCCTCTAACAGCAGCTGTTCACAAAGAGCAGCCTCAGAGGTACATGGACAGAGATGCACAAGTTCAAGCTGTCAGCACACAGCCTGAGTGCACAGCACTCAAATTAAAATATAAGAACCTGTTCATTGAGTTGATCTGCTTAGTAGATCTCCAAGATGTTTAAAAAACTAGCAAAGACCAGCTTTTAGAGGGGTTTGCCTAAAGCTGAATACCTGCATGCTGAGAGCAACCCAGCTTGCCTGACAAAGTCAGTGCAGTACAGGGGGACATTGAGCATTGCAATGCTGGCAATAACAGGTTTGGAAACTTCACTTCCCTCTGCAGTTACGTGGTAGAGCAAAGATTTTGCTACTGTTCCCACTGAGTTCAGCAGGAACATGGCTGGTCCCCAAACCCTTGACTGTAAGAGAAAGGATAGCAGATAAAGAGTTATAACCCATTTCTAGTGCTCATTATAGGACTTCTGTTTTCATTATGCATTAGTAAGCAGGCAGTGTGCAGGCAGAGCTCAAGACAATGCCTGAGAACAAAAGAGACTGAATTTCAAAAAATGAAATCTGTTTTATTTTATTGAAAATAAAATAAGTAAGAAATAACAATGTTTCAGTTGAGGACACCTAAAAACAAGAAAATGGAAGAATTTTTTCGTGTTAGTTAAGAAGAACAGGAATAATGGGATGAAGCCAAG